ACAGATGCCCACCTTTCACCGTCTGCTACTGATCCTTTCTGTCTGAGTCACTGTTTAGTGTCTGTCCCAGATGTTTTCTGTTTGCCCTTCCAGATCCATCCACCTTTCGCCCCTCTCCATTCTATGTTAGACCTGGGAGGTCAAACTAATTGAGCCACATCACTGTCCTGTGCCCTCTGGCTGGGCTGAGTGTGGCCCTTGGGAACTAGAGGGAGGTCGGATTGTGGGCCGTGACTTGGGTCACTTGGCTCCCTACCTGCGAGTCTCCCTGATTAGCTGCACCCCTCAACCAAAGGCCCGTGCATTTTTCACATCATCCTTCTTGACATGACTCTCTTGTCCTGGGTTCCAGCACCTCCTCCCTCCCCGTCCTTGGGCCTGAAGACAGAAGCGGTTCCTCTGATGTTCCTGGCCCTGGGTTACTCCAAATCCACAGTGGCGGCCTTCTGTTCCATGTCCGCCTGTGTGAAGGGTCCAATGTGTTGTGTCCCCGTTTCCTGGTGGGGTCTGACCGATGGAGCACTGGAGACCAGGGACAAGAGTGAGGACCGGGACAGGGGAACAGAGGACACCATTTCCGAGGCTCCCAGGTCCACCTGCTGATGGCTTGTTGGTAGGGGACAGAGTGAGTGGCTGAGCTGCCCTGCCCATTAGCAGCACCCTGCGGCCTGGCTAGAGGTGCCCACTCTGCCCCTCCTCTGAGCAGGCCCTCTCCCCGTGGAGCACAGAGCCTGTGGGGCCAAGAAGGCCTGTGAGTGTGGAGCGACATCCCCAGTTCCCGGCCACACTGTCATTCCAAGATCCTGGCCTCCCGGCCCAAATGGCCACCTGCAGAGCAGGTGCCGGGCTCTTCCCCAGATGTGTGGATCAGGCCCAGCAGGAGAGTAGCCAAGGGCAGCTGCTCACAGGGGAGGGGTGGCCAGAGCTCGGATGTGCGGATGGGTGTCCACTCGCAGGCACCCAGGGCTCTCGTGCTGTGGGGCACAGCCAAGGACGAGGAAAGCGGGGTCGGGGGTCAGGTGGGCTGCGGCCTGCCCTCCACCAAGTCTGAGCACAGACTTGCAGGGGTCAGAGAATCCTAAACTCAAACCAGCGGCTGCTGGGGCTTCTGTGGGCACACCCATCAGGGTGGGGGGTAAGATGCGGGCACTCACGGTTTGTTAGCTTGATTTGTAACTTTCAGCAAGCAGACACGTGGGTGGAGGCCTCTGTTGGAACTCGTGCCCTAGGTCGTCAGGGCCGCGCTGTCCCCAATTGCTCCTCGTCAATGGCAGGCAGCCCACCTTCTTTCTAAAGATTTCTAGGGACAGAGAGCCATCCAGTTTCTCAGTAGTGCCTGCTGTGAACGCAGCCTTCTTAGGACAGTCTCTCCCCTAAATTCACTTCCCTCAGCAAACAAGATACGGACGGTTGGTAAGTCACGCGTGACTGGCTGTGGCCTTGAGGGTCCGGAAGTGGCGGCTGTCAGCCCTCAGGCCCTTTTGTCTGCTTCCATCCAGCGAGCCCTTCCTCCCACCCCAGGTGTCAGCACCATGGACAGGACTCACCGCCGGTCCAGGGAGATGGGGTCTGTTCGGGATCCTGGGGTGAAGCAGAGGGCAGGCCAGTTTTGTCTCTAGGGAGAAGAGAGCTAGTGTGTGTGTCTCCACTGGGTGTCACTATCACACAAGGCCCTGGCAGGCTGCAAGGTGATAAAGCCAGGAGGGTTCCCCCCGCCCCTCACCTGGGGGACAGGGAAGGGATGACGCTGGCTGGGAGCCCAAGCAGGAGTATCAGCCCTCCTGTGCTACTTGCCACACAGCGACCTTGCGCGACCTGAGTGGTGAGGCGAGGGTGACAGGAACTCTCTGATGGAACTCCCTGCCCTTCAGCTGCGTCTTGTGGGCAGGCCTCACCCCTCTGTGGTGTCTCCCTGCCATCCCAGCGTACCTGGGCTGGGAGAGGGGCTAGAGCTTCTCAGAGCGCTGCCCCCAGGGGCTGGGTTCCCTGCCTCCCCCAGGCCCACCTTCCCACGGGGCTGCTGCGTGCTCCATGTGCTCAGCCTTTGGGGCTTTGAACCTCACAGGCTGGGGGCGCTTACCCAGAGCACCCCCTCAGCACCCTCTCTGGAAGGAAGCTCCCTGTGGAGGAGGGGGGTCAGCAGGATGGTGGCGGTGCTGACAAGGAGGACGCACTGCTCATGGAAGCCGTCCTTGGGGGCTCAGGACTTCCTGGGGCCTAGATGACGTGCGAGAGCTGAACAGGCGCTATAGCCTGGCGTGGCTCTCGAGCATCAGGGGGCTCACCCTCTGGGACTCCAGACTGCAGTCCTGGCCCCCGGGGACAGGTCCCCGCTGAGCTGCCTGTGAGCTGACATCCCACTCGGCACCAAGAACAGACCCCGGAGCCCAACGGGTGGCCTGAGCCTGTCCCGACAACACAGGAGATGAGAGGGCAGGGCAGCGGCCTGGGCACTGGGGTTCCTCTTTTCTTTTTTTTTTAACTGATGAGAGAGGGAGAGATTTGTTGTTCCACTTACTTCTGCATTCATTGGTTGATGCTCATGCGTGCCCTGACCCTGGGTCAAACCTGCAACCCTGGGTGATGACGCTCCAACCAACTGAGCTACTCGCCAGGGCAGCGCTGGGGTTCTTTGGAGTGAGTGACTCGGAGGGACTTCGGGGATGAAGAGAACAAAAGCCAAAAAGAACAGTCCCCTGGTTCAGCAGAAAACACGGTTCCGGGTGGAAACCCCCCAGAGCGCGTGTATCAGGGGCCCTCCCAATGACAGCGCGGGCACTCCGGGCGGGCCCCACTGTCCCGGAGTCCGAATACGGGTCTGTTTCACCTTCCTCCGCCAGGCCCCGCCCCCCCCCCGCCCCCCCGCATGCCGGGGAAACAGTTATGGAAGAAAGTGTGTCGCCCAGTGTAAAGTCAACGAACGTGCCGTCCACAGGAACCGCGGCGCGGCATCGCCCCACAGACCCATCCTGTGAATGACGCCGGGAGCCACTTCAGCGCAGGCCTTGACCTCTCAGGGGGACCTCAGCGCCGCACCCGCTCCGGCGTTTGGATTCCGCAGACTCCCTGCCGTTCCTTCCCTCCCAGCAGCAACGCAGCCCGCCCTGCAGGACACATCTCTGTGTTCCTTCCAGAGATCATTTTTTACAGACGTGGGTTATCTCTCCTATTCTCTGATGGGCGAGGTGCTCGATCTGTGACTTCCAGCTCCCAAGGCGGCTGAGCCTGCAGGTGCACTGCAGAGTGTGGGACTGGAGTCCGAAATTGAACATGGCTGCCCCCAGCGCCTACAGCTGAACCGTTCATTACGATGCCTTTGATTTCTGCCTGTGCTTTTGATCTCTAAATGCGCCACCATTTCAAGTGCATCATTCTCTCCCCACCCCCACCCTCTAAACACACACCCAGAGCACCCACCAAAGACGGCGTCCAAGCCAATGGAGCTACTTTTCTAGGCTGTCTTAGAGGAAGTGTGTTGACCTGGTGGCCGGGGCTCTAGGGCCCCTCCTCATGAGTTCTGAGACTCCCCAAAACTTTCTGCAGTGTGTTCAGGAAACTGTCAGTTTTGCATCCCCTGCAGCAGCTGCAGAAGGTTCAGAGGTATCTCCAGGACATCAGACACGGGGCGGTAAAGGTCCCGACCCTAGCACTTCCCGGAGCCTGAGAAACAGAACAAAACACAACTGAACTAAGATAGCACCGGGGGAGGGCGTGTGGACGCGTGCTGGGTGAGTGTGAGTTTCCTGCACAGAAACTCTGTGAGTTCTGAGGGGAGGGTTCTGGCGACCTTACTTCTCGGGTGCCCTGAGCTGATTTCTCCCTCCCTCTGCTTCCTCTCCCATCTGCGGGTTCAGAGCTGTGTTACACAGTCCCTTGCGAGCTTCCCCTCCACAAGCCCGAGACTGAGCCTGGTGCTGCTGCTGCTGCTTTGTCGCCAGCGGCTGGATCCTGTCTCCCCAGCCGTAAGGAGACATCAGTAAGGACTGCCCCTTTGCCACTGTCTAGCCGTGTCCACAGACCAGAAGCCAAGCAACCAAGAAGCAGGTAGGTGACTCAGGCCGCAAGGACCCTGACAGGCGCTCGCTGCTTGAGTCTGCTTTCCGCTGACATCTCCGCGGGGCCGCTGATCCCCTCTGCCTCCGCTCCTGTTCCGTTCACTTTTTCGGGGAAGCTACAAAGCTTATTTGGAAAGAGTGACAAGGGCAGGTTTTATTCCACACTCTCACTTTTCTCTCCCAGAAGTCTCCCCTTTTTCCATGGACCCTTCTGATGAAAGCAGGGATGACTGAGGTCCTTCCAAAGGGGATGGTGGCGATGTGGGCCCCCCGGGGTAGCTGTTCTGGTGAGCAGTGTGCTCGTGAGAAACTCAAAACCTCTCCATCTAGCAGTGGAGTATCTGCATTTTCTTATTTTCTGTATCCTTTTTTTCATTTCCTCTTTTTTATTGTTATTTTAAAATGTGGTTTTCAATTAAAGGATACTTTAGTTATTTCGCATTAGTTTCATGTGTGCAGCCTGGTGGCCCGATGTGGAAGGCGGGTTCTTGAAGTCCACCTCTTTCTGAACAAAAGAGCTGGCCCAAGAGTTCAAAGCCACAAGTTCATGACTATGCTGTGCCGAATACACTTGAGCAATCTGATTAACTGCAGCTGCTATTCATGGAATGCCGCCTGTGTGTACTTGACGCTGAGTGAGGTGGGGCGGTGCTGAGCCACGCGGCTTAAAGCGAGATATTTTTGTTTTTTAAAGACTTTATTTACTTATTTTTAGAGAGACAGGAAGGAAGGGACAGATAGGGAGAGAAACATTGATGTGTGAGAGAAACATCAATAGGTTGTCTCTTGCACATGCCCCGACCAGGGACCCAACCCACCACACAGGCTTGTGCACTGACTGGGAATTGAACCCATGACCTTTTGCCCTACAGGGTAACGCCTGAACCACTGAGCCACACCAGTCAGGCCAGGACACGTTGTAAAGAGGAGAATGACAACACTAGGTTTGTGTTTAAGAGTTTATCCAGACCGCCGTGCATAAACCCACAAGGAAGCTGATGTGGCCTTAAAAGGGGAGCAATGAGGGTGGCCGAGGTGAATTAATGTATTTGCCACCAGGACGGGGAATTGGACACACGTGCAACACACTTAGGCGGTGAGGCTGGCAGAAGGTGGGTGGGCCACGCTCTGGGCCACACTCTGGGCCACGCTCTGGGCCACGCTCTGGCTCGGGCTCTGGTGGGCGCTGGTGTCCTTCACGGAGCGGAGGAGCGTGGACCGAGCAGGCTCTCCTCCTTCTGGACATTAGTTTCTTCTAGAGTTACGTCCCGCTCTCAACACCTGGAACTCTACTTCCCAGTAAGAGAATTTCTCTGCAAGAGGGTGGGGGCAGAAAAGGGGAAACACACATTTACATGCGTGGGCCCTGAAGTCAGCCTTCGGACCTCCGTCCCGGCTGGCACTCGGCAGAGGACCGAGGTGCGCGGGTCACGGTCAGAGCTGGGCAGGGACCTCCAGGACGGCCACCTCGTGCCCTGCTCAGGAGGAGCGTCGTCAGTGTGTCGCCCGATCCCCAGAGCGCCTCAGCCCTGGTCAGAGTGCCCGAAGGGAAGATGGGGACTGCTGGCCCAAAGCACAGGGTCCAGCACAAGTGACACCCCCTTTTTACTACAAAATCTTTTATTACAAAATCATCAGCGTGTAATTCTGTAACACAACAATATCACCCTCCAGCACACCCTAGGACAGTTTAGGTGACATGCTCAAATTAAAACTGTAAGTTATTAATACCCGTATTATTACCCTACTGACCACACTCCGGTATTACTTCAGCCGGACCCTGTATTTAGGTCCAATTCCTATTGACAGGACTCTAGCGAAGGAAACGCCAGAGGCCAAAACCACTATTTTCTTTTTATAGAGCCAATCACAAGGGAATTCCGCACATGCCAGATTGTCTTAGTCTGTTTGGGCTGCTCAATTAAAAAATACCACTGACTGGGTGGCTTGAACAACAAACATTTTTTCCGCACAGCTCTGGAGGTGGACAAGTCCAAGATCAGGGCCCTGGAAGACGGCCTCTGGTGAGGACCTGCTTCCTAGCCCACGGACGGCTGGCTTCTTGCTGGGTCCCCGCTCGGCGGACAGAGTGAGGGAGCTCGCTGGGGTCCACTTGATAAGGGCATTCATTCCATTTCTGAGGGGTCACCACTGGGACTCCCAATGGCCCCACCTCCAGATGTCATCACATCGGGCTTTAGGATTTCACATGTGAATTTGGAGGGGCGAGAACATTCAGTCTGTAGCGCAGGTCTTAGGTCTCTGGCCCTGGGCTTGCACACTGTCATCCGGTGTGCAAAGAGGAGCCAGTGCTCGTCCTGGAGCAAAGAGGATGTGTGGGAGCCTGGAGGGTCTGACCCCCCAAAGCCCCACCCTCCACTCCGAGCCTCAGTGACGGGCAAGGGGACCCAGAGTGCTGTGAGGAAGAGCCAGAATCACAAAGACACCCAGGCAGCTGCAGGACCTGCTCCTGCAGAGAAGGGGCAGCTTGAGGCAGCTGTGAAATTGTGGCAACCTGTTTCTCTGATCCCGGTTGTAGGAGAGAGGTGGTTTCCAACCCTGCTCTCCCTGTGCTGGCTTCAGATCGTGGCTCCATGCTCCTCGGCAGCCCTCAGGTCAGGTTCTCCCACCCGGGTGTCGGGCCCTGGCTCCTGGGACCCCACCCAGATATGTTTCCGTGTGTCCTGCTGGTCCCACAGGAGGGCTTGGACGCTGAGGCACAGACACAAGCTGGAGGGTTAGCAGAAGCGGTTAGTCACACAACAGCAGAGAAAGGAGATTCTAAAAGGTGAATGGCCCGTCAGGACTGTTCCCATTAGGCCGCCCTGGAGACCTGCCTGAGCCCCCAAGAGCAAACCCAGACAAGAGCTCGGACGACATGGGGCTCCGGAAGGGAAGAGCAGAGGCTGGCGGGTGTGCTGCACCTGAAGAGGAGAAAATCGGGTTAAAAGAAAAGAGTTATATTCTGTTTAAAGTTATTTCCTTAAAAATCACCCCTACATTGTGCAATTAAAAATGAAAAATTACACGCTGAAGACCTTTTAAATTGAGGGTTGCTTTTGGAGCCTGCGTTTTTGGACTGGTGCTCTGGAACAACAGCGAGTGGACCTTTTCGGAAAGGGCCAGACAATGAGGTATTTTAGGCTCCGTGGTCCTGTCACGACTATTTGACTGTTGTGCCACACAGCAGCTGCAGAGACCGTGGAGATGAGTTTCCGAGAAACTCTGTTCACATGAACAGGCGGGGACCAGACCGGGCCTGTTTGCCCGCCTCTGTTTTACAAACCGAAATTCAATTAAGCATGAATATGGGGATTATTTAGACCACGAAGTCGTAAATCAAGAGCCGCCATCTGGAGGAGAGAGGAAGATGGCAGCGAGGTAGGAGGGAGCAGATTCCACTTCCCCTGCACACGGGAGGAAAACCTGGCCGCTCTGTGGAGGAACAGAGCAAACAGCCAACAGTACCCCAGCACATATGAAAGTAGGAGACCAAGAACTGTAGCGGACACTGAAAAACCAGCCGGCAAGGAGAGTGCTTCAGGACGATAAGGTCCCAGGGACTGGGACCAGGGCAGCTGCAGCCCCAGGCTCAGGGCATTTGCAGCCCCAGGCTCGGCACCTGCCCAGTCTGCCACAGGGTCCTTGGGAGAGAGCCGGGTCAACTGCTCCCTCCCCTGCCAAACAAAGCTTGAGCAGCACTGGAAGAGACCTGATTGCCTGAAGTCGCAGAGAGGGGACTAAGCTCTAAGCGGCAAACACACAGAGGCTGTGAGCACCCATGGAATCTGTGGACGCCGACTGGGGAGAGTTGAGAGCTGCACAGTGATGGGCCCTGACCCTGACAGCCCCCGGTCTGGCTGGAGAATTGGGCTGTGCGAGAGGCCAGGCCATTGTATGGAGCGGGAGGCTTGAGTAGGAGGAATTTCTCAAAAAGAAAAAGTGAAAAAAGACAATGTTTGGGGAATTCTCCTGCAACAATCGCTCCAGCCTCCTCCCCACCCAGCTGGGCAGCACTCCCAAAGAGGCGCAGGAGGCCCTTCGTGCCCCCATAGCACTGGGAAATGTGTGCACCCCAACCCGTGGGGCCGGAGACAGCCTGGCCTCGTGCTAGCACCCGCAAGCTGGAGAGAGCGCGTTCTCGGAAAGCCCCAGCCCACAGCGATAACTCCTCCGGGGAGAGCGCACTCGGAGGAAGGCCCGGATCCCACACCCAAGTCCCCTCGGAGAGGCGTGCCAGGCTAGCTCTGGGGGGAGTGCGCGCAAGGCCGACTGAGTGCTGGTCGGGAAGGGAGACCAGCCCCTCAGCCTGCTGCAGCCGGCAAGGCCAGAAAAACCCATGTGGCCGGTTTGAAACCACCAAGAGGTTATTATTTTCTTATCTCTCAGTTCCTTCTTCCTCTCTCTCCTTCTTTCTTGTTTTATTCCTTCTTCCTTTCTTTCCAATTTTATCTCTTCTTCCTTCATTCTTCTGTTCCTCTCTCCCTCTCTCTCTCTTTAAAATACCCACAAGTGAGACAAAAAAACAAACAAAACCCTGGAACTGTGAAAAGACCGGAGTTGGACCCAAAGAGGGGGCATCCCAACAGCTGAGACAGTGAGGCAAATTTCACTTTGCTATTACAGAGAACCGCAAGTTATTGCATATTCGTATTATTATTTTTCATTATTCTTACATCTTTTATTTTAATAGTATTTTTGTACTCCTCTTCTTTCTGTTTAGTCTTCTTTGCTTGGCTGGGTATATTGTATCGTTTGACAGGTGTCCCCTGTTCTGTCTTTCATACTGTATTGCTAATTTACTGTCCTTCACTTCATTTGTGTCCCATTAGCACACTACTCAAGGTCCTGTACTCCCTATTCTTGTTATCCAGATCACATAGACCCTGTCATATGATTGTGGCTCTAATATTATTGTAAATAATAGCTGTTCCATACAATTGTACATACTACACAACACCCCTCCCAGATCTTAGCCCACTTCACGGTTTCCTGAACTCTATTACTGTAGTGGTTAATTCTGTTCTGTTACACACTACACCTATTTACTAGCCTTTACTCTCACCTTACTTCAGAATCTGACTTCCCACAACCTCACTGCCTTCTAGATTCAACTCACAACCCTTACCTCCCCAATAAGAGTCTTATCTTTTCTCCATTCTTTCTAAAAAGTGGCTAATTGGGTGGAATATCATGGTTAACACTATACATAGCCAAAGGATCTCCTGTCTCTTCTCTACCGACTGCTACTGTAAATATCATAGAATACTCTCTTGCTGTCTTAAACCACTTTGCCTTCCTCCTCCAACTGACCATGAAGAAGAGTAGGTGAAAGCAGTGAACACCAGGATACCCACTGGAAGAGGAAACCCAACAACAAAGGAACCACCAACAGAGAACAACAGAAGAAGGTGAAGGAGGGAGTGAAAACCACACTAACCTCAGTCCAGGACCTATCTGGAAATACAACTAAATAGTGGAGAAATTACCCAGAACAAACAACTGAACAAGAGCGAGAGAGAATCCTCAAAACCTTATACACGTGGAAGAACCAGCTTCAACACAAACTGCCCTCACCAGCACAACAAAATACAAGAGGTGGTGAATAGAGTGACCCTCAGTTAGCCAGCTGGTGGGAAGGACCCACCAAAGAAAGACCCAACAACAATCAAAACCCAAAAACAAACACAGAGCCGACTGAAATGAAGACCAGTGAGCTTGGGAGATCAAAGAGATGGCACCACTGAATCTCACAGGTATTCTACCACAGAAGTTCACACCATAAACCCAGGGAGCCAGAACAGACCAATTTAAGAAGCTGAGGCTAACAAGAAGAGTCTCACATACAATGGGAAGACAAAGAAGCAATCCCCAAATGAAAGGAAAGGAGGAAGCTTCAGAAAGAATGCTAAATGAAATAGAGGAAACTCAACTATCAGATAGCAATGGTTGCTATCTTATAGCAACCACATATACTGTGTTCATGGGTTGGAAGAATTAACATCACCAAAATGTTCATACTAAGCAAAGCAATTTACACATTCAATGCAATACCTATTAAAGTACCAATGACATATTTCACAGACATAGAACAAACACTTCAAAAATTTATATGGAACCATAAATAACCCTGAAGAGCTGCTACAATTTTGACAAAGAAGAGCAAAGTAGGAGTGATCACAATACCTGATACCAAACTGTATTACAAGGCCACAGTAATCCAAACAGCCTGGCACTGGCATAAAAACAGGCACATGGACCAATGGAACAGAACAGAAAGCCCAGAAATAAACCCAAGTCTCTACAGTCAATTAATATTCGACAAAGGGGGCAGCAACATGAAATGAAGTAAAAATAACCTCTTCAACAAATGGTGTTGGTAGAACTGGACAGCTACGTGCAAAAAAAATGAAACTCGAGCACCAACTTACACCATACACAAAAAAAATTCAAGGTGAATAAAAGATTTAAATGTAAGTCATGACACCATTAAAGTCCTAGAGGAGAACATAAGCAGGAAAATCTCAGATATTCCACGCAGCAACATTTTTACTGACTTGTCCCCTAGAGCAAGGGACATAAAGGAAAGAATAAACAGATGGAATCTCATCAAAATGAAAAGCCTCTGCACAGTTAAGAAAACAGTATTAAAATAAAAAGAGAACCAACCATATGGGAAAACATATTTGCCAATGATACCTCCGACAAGGGTCTAATCTCCAAAATATGTAAAGAACTTACACGACCCCATGCTAAGAAGACAAGCAACCCAATTAAAAAATGGGCAAAGGACTTGAACAGACACTTCTCCAAGGAGGACATACAGAGGATCCAGAGACACATGAAAAGATGCTCAGTATTGCTAGCTATCAGAGAGATGCAAATTAAAACCACAATGAGATACTACTTCACACCAGTCAGAATGGCCATCGTAAACAAAGCAACAAACAACAAGTGTTGGCAAGGTTGTGGAGAAAAGGAAACCCTAGTGCACCGTTGGTGGGACTGCAGACTGTACAACCACTATGGAAAACAGCATGGAATTTTCTCAGAAACCTAAAAATGGACCTGCCTTTTGACCCAGCAATTCCACTGCTGGGATTATACCCTAAGAACCCTGAAACACAAATCCAAAAGAACCTGTGCATCCCAATGTTCATAGCAGCACAATTTACAATAGCCAAGTGTTGGAAGCAACCTAGGTGCCCATCAGTAAATGAATGGATCAAAAAACTATGGTACATTTACACAATGGGATTCTATGCAGCAGAAAGAAAGAAGGAGCTCCTACCCTTTGCGACAGCATGGATGGAACTGGAAAGCATTATGCTAAGCGAAATAATCCAGGCAGTGAAAGACAAATACCATATGATCTCACCTTTAACAGGAACCTAAACAACAAAACAATGAAACAAGTAAAACATAACCAAAGACACTGAAATAGAGAACAGGCTGACCAGAGGGAGAGAGGAGGGAATTTCAGGGGAAAAGGGGAAGGGTTTACAGGAACAAGTACAAAGGACACATGGACAACAACTGGGGGGGTGGAAATGGGAGGGAGGTGGGGAGGGTTGGGGAGGGGGTTGGCTGGGATGGGAGTAAAAGACAGAGAACTGTACTTGAACAACAATTACATAATAATAAGAAAAAGAGCCACCATCCACTTGAGGCAGCTTTCTCAAGCTGCATGTATCAAAATTGGAAGCAAGTGCTTTTGCAGATCCAAACCTGAAATCGTACAACTCCGATTTCTGGTGAAAGTAGTAAAGGCTCCACAAAGACAGAGAAAACCCCACCCTCTGTGGCCAGTGCTGGCTTACTGACCTTCCAGATCAAGAATTTATGAAAGCAGGTATTATTTTGAGTAAAGCCTCTTACAGGCAAGTGGCCTTTACATCATTTCCGCAGCCCTGACTGGGGTGGCTCGGTTGGTTGGATGTCATCCTGAAAATCAGAAGGTTGCCAGTTTGATTCCTGGCCAAGGTACATGCCTAGGTTATGGGTTCAGGCCCAATGTTTTTTTTTCCCCTTCCTTCCCTTCTCTTTAAAAATAAATAAAATCTTTAAAAAAATTGTTTCCCTAGTCCTCTCTTGGATTGCTTTTGGTACATTTCCAACAAATACAATTCTGTTGTGGAAAAATGTGTTGAGGTTGTTCGCATTAGAACTGATGTTTGAGTTATTTTTAATGCTCTCAGAATTTAACAATCAATGTAACTGAAGGGTAAAAAATGAACAAATATTATGTAAGTCATTTGAAGGAAAAAAAAAACTTGTCTGGGATTGGAGATAAGAGTGTAGGTTTGTGGGTGGGTGTTTATAGTTGTTGCACATGTTAGAAAACCCAAAGTGAACTGGGTTAAGCCTGGAGAAAACTGGCTAACCAAAGTGTCAGCATGGCACACAGATTCAAACACCACTGGGACCCATTGCTCTGGCTCTCTGCTCCTTGTTGGATGTCAGGTGCCATGTAGTTATGAGTGGCTGCCGGCAGCTACACGGGAACATCCTCTAGGTTCAAGGTTAGTGAAGAAGAGAGTACGCTTCCCACCCCAAAGTCCCAGCAGAAGCCTCATCACAGCTCATGGCTCTCACTGGGCTTGTGTGCATCGCTCATCCAAGGCCATGGCCAGGGGTGTGCAGCATTCCCACTGTGCCCACACCCCCGTGCAGAGCAGCCACCGGGCACAGTGCGCTCCGCCTGAAGAACAGGACCTGGTGGCTGGGGTTCAGGATGCTTTGCAAGAGGAAAACAAGGGAAGGCTAAGTGCATTCTGAAAGGCGGAACCAAGAGCCGGCTCACGGTAATTGGACCATTTCTTTGGAAACCCTGCGGGTCTCATTAGCTCTAGTTATCAGGTGGAATTTGCCCCAGGGCTATCTCTTGGCATATTCCCTCCTGCAATAGCCAACTGCCAATTTATCTGACCTCCCTGCTGAAAGGTCAAGCTTTCCTGCTTAGCCTACTTCACATGCAAGGATGGTGCGTCCTGTCCGGCGGGGCCATCAGCATTATAAACTGAGAGACCCAGTGCCTTCCTTCTCCCAAAGTGCCTGGGGCCAGAGCAACTGCCTCAAGTTTGAGATGAGGAGCTTTAGTGCGAAGATGTAATGGGAGAGTTTTAACTCCTTCATGTGTCTGAGGAAAAATCACAGGTTTCCAGAGAGACCCCCATATTCTTGAAACAAATTCCTCTCATTGCTTGAGCTAATTGCTAGAGCTAGATTTCCGTAACTCAAAACACAAGGGTCATACCTGATCACCCGTGAATGCGCTGGGTGTGTATGGGGGACCCCAAGCTGGTGTGGGCCGGGGGAGGAGGATTCCAGCTGGGGCCGGGAGGCTGAGGCCACCAGCTGAACAGCTAAGGCTGTGGGACAGTTGTGGGGCACTACAGTGGCTTTCAGGTGGGAGACAGTGGCAGAGCCAGGCCACGCCAGTGTGGGGAGGGACCTAAGCCCACGAAAGTGACTTCTGAGGAGCAGGAGGCTTGGATCCTCATCTGAGCAGCTGAGAGGGGTGGGGACTACGTGCCAGCAGTGGTGAACTCAAGCCACAGGGTGCATGCAGAAAGGGCTTGGACCCAGGACCACACGAGGCAGAGAGTGTCAGGCCCCCAAGAGAGGTTAGAGATAAAGAGAGAGGAAAGTTCTGGAACACTGCACAGGCAGCCAAATGAAGTGGGTAACGAGATTACGTTTGTGCTGGGCCTCCATTGGGTCCCAAACCCTGTACCTGGTTACCTCAGGTGGCAGAGGAGTTCCATTGTCCTCCCAGGCAGGTGGCAGGAGGGCAAAGCCAGGAAAGGCAAGACCTTCCTGGGGGAAGGGCAGAGTCTGCCTGAGGAGGCTCCTCTGTGGTCACGCTCCCTGGGCCATCCCCCCTGGAGCCCTATCCTCCCCATCTTTGGACCCCCATGATCCATGTGGGTCCATCTGGTATGTCCTTGACCCTGCAGGCTGTGGACCCAGACAGTTTGGATTCGAACTTCCATTCCCGCATTTGCTATGAACCTTGGGCAAATAGTCTAACCCATCGGCACCTGAATTTCTCAATCTGCAAAATAAGGATGTGAACGTTAGTTTGCAGTGAATGTCAGTTTGCTGCGAATGTTTAGTTAGCTGCGAATGTTCAGTTTGCTGCGAACGCTAGGTAAGATCAGAGAGAAAAGGTGGAGCACGGCGAACATGGTTAGGGGTTCAGTCAAGTTCAGCTGCTTAGAGATCTTGGACTCTCTTCTGACCTTTCCTCTTCTGTTACAGCCCAAATCAGGTTTGTCTCCTCCTTCGTCACACATCTTACAGTTGGGTTTTCAGGGCTTCCTCTTGGACCAGCTCCTGCTGACATCAACGCACATCCCGCCATGTGTTTCCCAAACCCTGAGATTCAGTGCGGCCCATTCCAGAACATTCCACTGTGATGAGTAGCTGAAACTGGGCTTGCTTTCAATTTGCTGAAGTAGGATTTATCCAAAATTTTTGAACAGGGCCTTTCAAGTGCCTTGTCTGGAATGAGAGCCAGGCAACAGTCTCCTGGATTCTTGTTTGTAAATGATGGGTCATTAGACACTTCTGGGTGTTAACAGAGTCAGTCATCCAGGATGAAAGGCATTTTTTTTTCCCCTCAAGCTCTCGCTTAAGGCCTTTGCGCCACCCGTGAGCTTGAGTGGCCGCTCCTACTGCCGGACAGAGGCATGGCTCTGAGTGGGTCTGACTGGCGTCATGTGGAGTGTGTGGGGTTTTGACTTTGTGTTGGAAAGATTTCACAACATGAGTCCGGGTAACTATGAGGGTATGTTTACTAAAGCTGGGGACAGTGAAACAAGGAGGGGCTCAGTGCAGGAGAAGCAGCAGGAAAGCCTAGGCTGGGCTGCCTTAGCTCACAGGGAAGTCAGAGAAGAGGAGGTTTTAGGGACGGGATCAGCCTGGGAAGAGCTGCCCGTTGCCTTAGAGTTTAGGAGATGCAGGCCTGTGAAGACAGAAGCGGGGGGAAGGAGTGAAAGGTAACGACTTGGGCTGTTCCCCAGAGGAAGAACATGCCTTGGGTCCATTGTCTGGAGGCTTTTTTTTTCTCTCTCTTGCAGGTGGGAACCTTAGGGGAGGTCTCGGGGAGGGTTCCAGCAGAATAGTCAACAGTTCTCCAGGTGTGCCCTTTCAGGGGCATGGTCTCCTCTGATTGGTCGGTGACAGGGCAGGGTGCCTTTAGTCACTGCAGTTAGTTCTGGTGTTGCTCACCTGGTTTGGCTGCTTTTCTGGGCCTGGAGCTGCAACACAACTAGGCTTAGATGTCATCTCCAGGGAGGAAATGTTACCCTGAAGGTAAGGTCCTTGTTTTCTTAGTTTTTCCGCCTGCCGGGCACTCAGGCCTTCCACCCTGGTGACCGCCCGCACCTGGCTGTAAATTGTTCTGCCACTGTGTCCAGCTCTCTGTCTCAGTCTCCCTGTTCCACTTGGCAAAGAATTCTCCTAGCTTCTCACTGTCCTGTCTCATTTCCTCCTCAGAGACCTCCATCCTTAAAATCTTTTACCCTGCGGAGGTCGCAGCCAAAAAAATTACAATGTAGGCCACATATTGAATATCACACACTCTGATATTCACTATGAAGCCTGTGTTGTAACCACTCTGACAGCTTAGATGTTATGGCTTAACATTAGTCATGTATAAACTTGCAACGAGGCATGACCTTGAATGTATGCATCCAATGTGTGTAACAATATTTAAGAGAACAGTTTCTTCGTGTCTCTCAGATGAGCTGTGACCTCCACAGGGTTTGGAGGTGGTGGGAGAGGAGGGTTCCTCTTCAGCCACTGTTTCCTGCTGACAAGGATTGTGCTCCCTGCCTGTGTAGGGTATGGCAGTCTCTTCCTGCCTGGTCTAAGAGACACAAGGGAATAGGATCTGAAACTGGAACAGAAAAGCTGTTAACTGATTCTCCCAAAGTAGGGGTAGGCTGGAATCCCGGAAGCATCATCATCTTGGTATGGAATTGCTGTATCCAACTCAACCATGTAGTCCTCACGAGTAAATTCAGCCAAACCACTGAGTCTCATTTCAGGAGGTGGTCTTTTTAAAACTATAATTTGAAAATAGAACAGATAAAGTGTATATAGGGGCCTTAGAAGCTTTCCCCTCCATGACAATGTCAACCTCTCCCAAACCACCTGCCAGGGGAAAGGGAAACACCCCCAAGCAACCCCATCCATTCCTGCCTTTTCTTTCCAGATCTCACTTCAGTCTCCTACAGTTCCTCCTAGGTGGCCTGGCTTTTTGCAATAGAAACAGACTTCTCCACAAGAGTTTCCTAGCAAACTCTATTTCGTAATTTTATAGCTTACCAAACTGGGGAGCTGAATCAGACTCCAAGCTTGCTTCATCGTGAAGCCACAGCATTTCCTTAAGCCTGATTTACAAGAAAACCATAGCATTTACAGGCTTACTCACACCCAGATGACTGCCATGTCCTCTGTCCTTGGACTTAATGTTCCAGGCGGGCAGGAAGCAGTTTTCTGGGGCTTAACCAAAGCCAGGCATCAGGACTATCAGAAAAGCAGGAGGAGTAGAAAAAAAACAAACCTCTGCTGGCTACATCTGCAGCAGGAACCAGATAATGCAGCAGAACCCTGGAGGCATGCACAGCAGTAGTGACATGAAGGGGCAGAGCCCAGCTCTGGGGAAAGGACCAGACTAAACAAGAGGCATGGAACCCCAACATGTCTAGAAAAGGGAGGGACCTGCCAAGGGGAAGGCCTGGACCAGGCCTGGAAGATTCAGGAAGTGGGCAGAACACCCTAACAACAGCCTGGCTGTCACCAAGACCACAGACCCAGGAGCAGCCACAGCCAGAGTTGCCCTGCAAACTGGTTTTCTATTATAGTGTTAATTGACCTGAGCTCCTCCTAGGGGCTTCTAATTTGTCATAAAGATCGGCTTCCCATTCATTTGGTTTTAGAGCTGGCATTGCTAATTTTGTATGCAAAAATTAACTTAGACATTAAAAGAGATACATTTTGGCCATATTCAGTCATTCACTTCTAGTTAAATCTTCCCATTTTTGTCGGTATTTGCAAGCGAGTAAAAGCTTTTCAGTAATTGCATGTCTGCACATCAAACCCTCCCACATGTCCCTGCCTCCCCTTCAAAGTTTCTTTACTGCCTAAGAATGACTGAGTTGAGCCAGAGGGAGTAAGCACCCCTCACCCTCAGAGCTGAACCACTGAGTTTAGACTTTTATTTACACAGAAAATTCTTTGTTAAGACCATCAGAAAGCAACTTCAACTGAAAGCCAATGTTAAAAATCAGCCATCCTTTTTTTCCCTTCTGTCCTGCCTTAGCTTGGCTTCTTCTCAAACCTTAACCTCCAGCTCTACCTCGATGATTTAAAAAAAGACAGATGAAGTAAATTCAGCCTCTTACCTTATAACAACAGAGATGTCTAGAATCCATGGGAATTCACCCAAGCCCAGCCGATGCAAACAGAGAAGCTGGTAGGGCGCAATGGACCTCTGCAGTACCTAGCACAGTCCCGGTCTGGGAGGCAGTCCTGGGTGGGCTCCTCTCTGGAATCCCACCATTGTATCCATGATGAGACAGTTCAAGTCACTGCAAGTGAGCCAGCTTGGCTGTACAGGGTCAAGAAGGGACGTCCTATCTGGGTCGCCATATTATGTTGACGGGGGCCGGGCCCCGAGTGGGTCTGATCAGGGTCATGTGTAGTGTGTGAGTCATTGACTTTGTGTAGGAAATATTTCACAACATGAGTCCGGGTGACTATGAGGATACATTTATTAAAGCTGGGGACAGTAAAACAAGGAAGGGCTTAGCACAGAGGAAGCAACAGGACAGCCTCGACTGGGCTGCCTTCGCTCACTGAGAAGTCAGAGAAGAGGGGGCTTTGGGGACAAGTCCAGGGGATCCATCTGGGATGAGCTGCCAGCTGCCTACTGCCTTAGAGTTTAGGAGATGCATACCTGGAAAGATGGAAGTGTGGGTAGGGAGAAGAAAAGGAAAACAGTGCTGGCCACCCCCCAGAGGGAGAGCACCCACCCCTAGGTCCTTTGTCTTGAGGCTTTTATCTCTCCTGCAGGTGGGAATCTCAGGGGAGGCTTCAGGGGAGGGTTTTAGCAGAATAGTTATCAGTTCTCCAGGTGCCCTCTTTCAGGGTCATGGTCTCCTCTGATTGGTCAGTGCCAGGGCAGGGTGTCTTTAGTCATTGCAGTTGGTTTGGGCACTGCCCACCTGGTTTTGCTGTTTTGGGGGGGCCTGCAGTTGAAATATAATTGAGGCCAAGATGTTATCTCCAGGGAGGAAAGGCCAGGGTAAAAGAGGTTACTCTGGGGTAAAAGTCTTGTTTGCCCAGTTTTGCCCCTGCCAGATGCCCTGGTGACCAACTGCACCAGGCTGTAAATTACTCAGCCATTATGGTCCACTGTTTGTCTCAGTTTCCCTATTCCACCTGCCAAGGATTCTCCAGATCTAGATGACATTGTCATAGCTTATTCTCCCGTCTCACGGCCACACCCTAAGGCGCTATACCCTGACTTGTTTCCTTGTGTGATAGAGGATCATTAACTTCTCTGCCATTATTCAAACTTATCAAATTATAAAACATTCACTGCAACGTCATGCACCTAGTGTCCTGCAGTAATCACACAGGGAAAGGTCTGGAAGGGAGTCTGTCATCCATCAGTGATCAGGGCGGGGCTTGGAGGCCTCACCCTCCCCAGAGCGAGCCCTGGATCTCTGTCTCTCTCTTCCACGTCTTGTTTTGGCAGGTGTTGAGAAGTTGGTCTTTCTCTACGAGAACGACTTCACTTCTGTTCTATCCTGAGAGGAGGCCCGGAGGAGAAGACCCCGCGTGGCCATGAACTCTACCATCACCGGCTGTGAGCACCCTGACCCCTTGGTGAGTGCTGGTAAAAGAGAGAGGGAAGAGCAAGAAGGGGACAGGCAGCGAGGAAGGAGGAGGCCTGGCGCGGGGTTGAAGCATGGAGTCCTAATGCTCTGACTCATTATGACTGCGAGGATGACGGCTCCCAGATCCAGATGACATTTTCAATTACTAGACAAGGGTGGCAGCTATACTCTGGACCTGCCATCACTGAGGCAAAGATTCCTCCCCGAGGGCGGACCTCTGAATGAGTCACAAAGGGACGAGGAAAAGGTGGAAAGTCCTCTGCTTTACCTTTATGCACAGGTTCGTCTCTGTTGAAAACAAATGTTTGTTTTTCAGCGTTCTCAGAAATGATCAGAAGCCCTTTCTGAAGCAAAGCAAAGGGGAGGAGAGTGGGAAGGAGAGAGAGAGAGAGAGAGAGAGAGAGAGAGAGAGAGAGAGAGGAAGAGAGAGAACTGATATTTACTAAAATTCTCAGGTACTTTATGTACTTTATTTTGTCCCTTTGAAGTCCATGAAGCAGGCTCTTCTGCTCCCATTTTATAGGTGGGGAAGCTGAGGCCCAGAGGAGGAAAGTCAGGGCAACCCAGCGGGAGGCTTGTCTAGCTTGTCCTTGGGCCCTGGCCCTAGGGCCTCTCCAACCTACTCTGGCTACTTGAAAGTAACAGGAGGAACTGAATGGAGACCCTCTGCTCTTGCCACCGCCCACCACAGGTGGAAAGAGACCCTCCCTCTGATGCACCAGGCTTGGGCTGCAGCCCTGGTGAGGCCCAGCCCAGGTGTCTTCGGGACAGGTGCCACCCACAAATCTGGACTGGGCTCTAGAGCTGTCCCCTGGGGCCAGTCTGCTAGACACTGGTCACTGCTGGTCAGCCTCTGGCAGAGAGGAAGCCCTGGCTCTCTTCCGAAGAATCGCTGGGGTGAGGCAGACACCTGAGAGAACTCTCCTTCCTTCTCCTCAGAATAATTTCTGTCGCTACTTCACGGAAGCTTAAAAAAAAACAAAAAAAAACAAATCTTGGGAAATACGCTGAAGGTCCCACTTTCTGAAGGCTGTGATGTTTTCCACACTTTTGACTTACCTGAGGCCAGTTGGAGAGGAGAGTGGACGGAGCACATACTGACCGCCTTTTCAGCGGCCCATCTTCTCTGCATTCTCCTCAAAACCTCAGTGTCAGCACCCAGATTGGGAAGTCACCCTCCTGGAGTGCTTTTGGTTTCCATGTGCGTGTTGCTCTGCTAGAAACTTCTAGCAATGTAAACCCAGGGAAGATAACTTCCCAACCCTGAAAGCTTATGGCCTAGCTAGAGGAAAGGGGGGTACACAGAAATCTCTCTAATATAAGGGAGAAACTGGCTAACGACGTGACAGGGGGACCAGAGGTGCTGGGAGTGCAAGGGAGGAAAGTCATACGGGGGTGGGACATGGGGAGAGGTGATGGAGGAGGAGACAGTGAGGTCAGGGGAGCAGGGCACACGTCGGGAGCACAGGGTGAGCAAAGGCACTGAGGCAGGATGACGGAGGCCATGGTTGGAGAGACCTGGGCAATCCCATTGGCTAGAGCCAGGCGAATGGGAGTGTTAGGAAATGAACCTCGCTGGGGTCGGTGGGGGATGGAAGGCTGTGTGGGCTATGGATGGCCTCAAAGGGCAAGGGGTCCAACTGCCCCCAAGAACTCCGCCCCTCCCCACTGCTGCTGTCCCCGCAGCAGTCCCCTCCTGCTCTGCTTGTCTGCACCAGGGAGCTGGAGGGCTGTCCCTGTATGCACAAGGGGGGAACTGCAGGCAATGGCCCCAGACACCAAAAGAGGAGGGCACTGTTCTCCCATGTACAATGGGACCTTGGACAAGCCTCGCTGAGCCTCAGTCTTCGTGTCTGTGAATCGGGGGTGATAGGCGGTGCTGAGACTCAAAGGAGAGGGTGCACTGGAAGCTGCTTGTCAACTGCAAAGCACGACCAAACGGCAAGGCTCACCAGGCTGCCTCGTTTGGTCACGCCCACGTGCTGCGTTGGCAAAGTCACTTCCCACAGGAAAAGGTGCGGCCCCTCTTCGTCAAGCAGGGGCACTTCCCTCAGACTTCGTTCTTCCTTCTTTCTTTCTGCTGCTGCACAGAATTCCATGGTGTAAGTGTACCACTGGTTTTTGACCCACTCGTTTACTGGTGGGCACCTAGGATGCTTCCAACACTTGGTGATTGTATATACCATGTGATCTCACCTTTAACAGGAACCTAAACAACAAAACAAACAAATAAGCAAAATATAACCAAAGACACTGAAATAGGGAACAGGCTGACCAGAGGGGAGAGGGGAGGGAATTTTAGGGGAAAAGCGGAAGGGTTTACAGGAACAAGTATAAAGGACACATGGACAAAAACTAGGGGGCGGGGGTGGAAATTGGGAGGGAGGGAGGGAGGGCTGGGGGCGTTGGCTGGGATGGGAGTAAAAGACAGAAAACTGAACTTAAACAACAATTAAATTAAAAAATATATTTTACAAAAAAGCTACTAAAAATATACAGATGTACTATGGCAAAGTAAAAAACAACAACAACAACAACAAAAAAACGACTTCCTTCTTCCTCCGGAAGGGTGTTTGCAAGCATCTTCCTCCTGCAGCGTGAGTCACGCGCACAGGCTCCTCCCTGCAGGGGCTTCCCCACCCCAGGGACAGAGGTGCTCCCCACAAAGGGACAGACTCCGAGATGGCGCCTCTCCTACCGCCGTCCGGGAAGCCCTGCTCTGCAATGTCTCTGGGGTGTCGCTTCTCTCTGCGCAGGTCTTTAGTGAGCTAACGATCCCTCTGGGCCGCACAGGACCCCGCAGGCACACTCTGTACCTGCCCCGTCCATGCATGTAAGCCAGGTGAGGGGGTTTGCCAGAAAAGTCACTTTGATCGGGCTCTGTGTTTTCAGTGGCCGTGGCCAACGGGCTTCAGAGAGGTCACACACTCTTATCAGAAGGGAAGAACCTGCGGTTCTCATGGAAGACACATTTTCCGCAGATCCACGTTATAATTTTTTTTAAATTTGGACCTCATGCAAGGTCCATTGCCCAGACATTGTTTTAAAGCAGAGGTAGAAGTGGTTTCCACAACCTTCAGAGGGTCCAAGTTGATACCCAGACAGAATATTCAGAGCTCACCCCGCTGAGAACAATCTTTGGGTCATTGGCTCTTAATAGGAAAAAAGACAAGAAGGTCCAGGACCAGCAGTCCCCCCTCCCACCCACGTTTCCTTCTCCCTCGCCTTCTTGGGAGCTCCGAGAGGTCCTGGGGAGGCTGGGAGTGAGCTCACTGGCAGAACACACGCAGCTGTACTGGCCGCGGCCCTGGGAGTTCGTGTGTGCACAGGTGCACGCTGGGGACCGCAGGCTCTGTGCTCACTGGGGTCTTCAGGCATCCTTGCACCATCCCAGATTTAGATGGGGAGATGGAGGCTGGGAGAGGCACCTCTGATCCCTGCGCAGGGCACCGGGAGACCACATCTGGCTGACTTCAAACGGTGCGCTGGGTTGCTCTGTAACCTGCCCAGGATCGACCAACCACTCCCAAACGATCCCTCACTCCCTCTTCCCTTCTTCCTCTCCTCTTTTTCTCGGCCTCGTTTTAACCTTTGCTGCCCTCACTGATTCCTCCCTCCCTTCACTAAGACCTCACCAAAAGTGGCCAGGGGTCCCGAGTTCCCTCCAGCACCCTCCTGTCTGACTTTAGTTCCGCTTTGACCTCCTTAGGCAGAAACAACCTTTCGTGTGCAACCCCAGTGCCAAGCAGCACCCTTCTTTCAGGGAATCTAAATGGATAAGCATGATGTTTCAAAAGAGGTCCGACCAGTTAGGGATTTTTAAAAAGTCAATGAGAAAAATTCCCAATAGTCATGAACTTATACATTCATTCATTTACTTCATCAGCCAACGGATAGTTATAGGAGTGCTAACTCTATGCTAGAGATAGAGACGTTATGGGACTTTACGGTGTCTTGGACAAATAAACGTGATTGCAGTGAGGCATGCTGGGGCCATGGTTTTGTAGGAGCCTCTGAGGAGGGGAGACCTAGTCTAGTCTGAGGCCAGGATGGGGTGACATCAGGGGAGGCTTCCTGGAGTAGGCGAGCAGTGCATGCTTCCAGCCATCACTAAATAGGTGAGCAGAAGCAAAAATCTTACATCTGTGTTTCAGGACATAAATGCTAGATTGGTGAGCAAGGGCTCTTTGGAGTCCCGGGACACATGACTCTGCAGAGCTGAGCTGTGTGGATCAGCCAACCCACCGTCTGCAAGCCTCACCACAGTCTTGCTTCACAGCCTGCGGTGCACACGACAGCCCCGCCCCTACGCACAGCGCACAGACACACAAGCACACACACCACAGCAACGGATTATCCTGCCCAAAATGTCAGTGGTGCTGAGGGTGAGAACCCCTGTCTCAGAATAAAGTTCCCTAGGGACCAGGGACGTCCTCAAGGTGGTAGAGGACAACCGTCCAGTTCTTGGTCTGGCGGCTTTCTCGCCTCTCCTCACGTCGAACAAGTGGCAATCCCCTCCCCACCCCGTCCTCCCACTTCTGCGGAGGCAGCCTCGGTGCCTTAGGGCCCCGGGGCCCGCGATTCGTTCAGGGGCCCGTGACAATGGTTTCATGTCTTCAAAAATCAGAAGAAAAAAAATGGAACTTTTGTATCAAAGAAAATGTTTTAATATATAATAATAAATTTGCCTTTAGACGAATGTAGTCAGAAAATACATGCATTTTTTTGGAAGAAGGGGCGCATAGAGTAAAATTGTGCAGCGCCCACGAGGGTCATAATGCAACCCTGGTTCAGAAGTCATTTCCTGAGGCGGTGCTGAGGTAAAGGGTGCTTAGGCACAGAGGTGGGTGTGGAAGCTCTCTCTGGAGCTCTCTCCAGGAGAGGGCTGCAGTGCCTCCGTGCAGACCTGCCGTCCTGCAGACATGCAGACGTGCAGACATGCGCTCTGCGGTCCGACCAGGACCCAGGACCCCGCTGGGGCACGTCAGCTAGACTTGCCTGACTTGTATGGTGGTGGCTTTGCTCCCTCCTGGCCACACCAGGGACAGTGTTCTCACGCTCCTGTCACCCCCAGCGACACGCTCAGACATCAGCCCTGGGCATATGTTTAAAACCTTCAGAACATGAGACTGGAAGCTCTTTGTAATTATAACAGTTAATAATTATTGGGCAACACCCTATGCCAGGCACAGGACAGGACTGTGTGCTTCCTGGTCCATTCCCCCACGCCCCACCCCCACTTCATCGAGATGTACTTGACACATAACATTATATAAGTTTAAGGTGTGCAGTGTGTTAACTTGATACACATATATTACAAAATGATCACCAGCTTAAGATTGGCTAACAGCTGCATCACATCACATAATTACCATTTCCTTTCTGTGGTGAGAACATGTATCTACTCTCTTAGCAACTTTTAAGTTTATAATACAGTGTTATTAGCTGTAATCACTATGCAGTAGATTAGATCCCCAGAACTTATTCATTTTATAGTATCTGTTTGCATCCTTTGACCCAAATCTCCCCATTTCTTCATGCTCTCATTTAATTTTCTCCACGATGAAGTACGTGTTAACAACATTTCTGTTTTATGAATCAGATATTCGAGGCTTACAAATACTAGTAATTTTCTCAAGGTCGGTAAGTCATATAGCCAATAGCTTGGAGGGGAATGCTTAGAATTCATAGTTAATTTTGGTGAAAACGGTACGAGGAATGTAAGTTGGCTGCCGCCCCAGAGCAGCCTGTGTGCGCTGATTCATGTTTGTATGTAACATCCACTCACCATCCGTTCAGTCTACACCGGGCACAAGGACGACCGGAACAGCAGAGATGAGCAAGGCGCATCAGTGCATTCTGGGAACTCACAGCCCCGCAGAAGAGATGGATAAGGAACTGTCCATCATAACACACGTGCTGTGACAAGAGCTTTGGCAGATGTCAACACAGGGCCTGGGGGCAGCTACACCATTCTGGGACCAGGAGCTCCCTTTTCCTGACCGGCTGGGAGGAAAACCTGCCCATTTTCTGACCTTGGGGTTGACTCCCATCCTTTCCTGCACTAAGCCCCTTCTGTGCCAGGGCTCTGGGAACAGCACCCACTCCTCTTGCAGGCGCCCAGACTTTGCAGGGAGGCCCTGCTGCAGAGGTGTAATACTGAAAACCATCGGTCTTTCAGGTCTGGACCTAGACAGAAGTCCCAAGCTGGCCAACGGTCATCCTTGTCTCATTGCCTCTTCCCACTGAAAGGGTGTCCGTTTGCACAGTTGAAATCAGGAAGTCCACTTGATTCCTTTTGAAATGCCCAGATGTGTCCTTCTCTTGTTCCAAGCAGAGGGGCGAAAGTGTTCTCATCTTCCACGGTGCTGGCCAAGGCAAGAAGAAGGAGGGCCAGCGCGAGAGTCCCAGCAGCAGCCACCTGGCCTATGGCATCTTGGACATCCCACCGTGGTATCTCTGCATCTTCTTGGGGATCCAGGTAATGCCACCCAGCAAGCACTGGGTCCAAAGAGGCTCTGCCTCAAAAGCCAAATCAATACACACCTGGTCAAATTGGTCGATATCTACACTGCAATTGTGGATACTCTTGCCTTCCATGTATAATAGTGTACCTCCAGCGGAACTCAAGTCTTCTTGGGTCTCTCTGTCTAGGAGTTGGGGGTGATAGAAGGAATTAGGGAGGCTTCTTTCTCATGCTCGGCTGATAGGTTACACTAAAGACATTGACTGGGAAATTCTTTTTTAGAGATGCTAACTTTAATTTATTCAATTGGCAACACCTAAACAGTTTGATAATCAATGCTTGGGAAATTTGGGGAAACATGCACTCTCAGGCACTTTTGTTGGAATGTTATTTGGTACAACTTTTCTAGATGACAGTTTGGTGATTCCTGTCAACAAGTAAAACACACACAAAGTCTGTTCAGAAAGTATCCAGCCATGTACTTTGAAAAATAGACATTTCTTGAAGAAGAATACAAGAAACGATGTACGTAGGACCATGATGCCTCAGTCCCCTTCAAAGTAGGCACCTTGGGACCTCACACAGTTCTCCCAATCGCCATCAGCTGCCTCATTGTATTTTTCATGAATTTCATTGACAGTCTGAAGTCTCTTCCCTTTCAAAGGTGATTTTAGTTTTGGGAAAAGCGAGAAGTTGCTGGGCACCAAATCTGGGCTGTAGGGGGCCTGAGTCACCTGGGTGATTTGATGTTTCACCAAAAAACTCTGCATGAGATGTGATGCATGAGTGGGTGTATTGTCATGATGAAGCTGCCAATCACCAATTGCCCGTAGTTGTGGTCCTCTGTATCTTCTGAATAGTTCCCATGGAGGAATGTTCAAGCTTAATGCTAAATTTGATGCAGATTTATTGTTGTACTCACTCAGTCATTTTGAATGCAATGGCCACACAGTGCCCATGCTCACTCAGCGGCATCTACTACCCCCACTGACTAGTACAGAGAAGTCATCATTGTTCACGCATGTGCATTCCAGTCCACTCTCCTGGGCTGCCGGGTTCCATCAATGCCACGCAAACTCTTCTTGTTGTATTAACAATGGCTGGACTTTTTCCGGAAAGACCTCTTCCCTTTAACTCAGGCCCCAATGCTTAAGAATTTCTCTGAGGACATGTTGAAAAGACTTGATAAGTACAAAGATATTCTTATAGCAGTATTGATAATGGTAAAATCAAAACCATACAACAAACAAACAAAACCCTAGAATATCCCAATGATGGATATTTTATTGGGAACCAGTTAAATAAATTTTGATAAAACCTCATGAATCACTTTTTTATGTAGCTGTTAAAAACAGAAATATATTTACCCTGAAGTGAGGGAGTGTTCTCCAAGATACAGTAAGTGAAAAAAGCTAAGTAAATAACCATGTGTAGTGTGCTCTTTTTTGTGTTAAAAAAAGTAGAAAAGAGGATAATGGAAACAAGTATATGTAATAATTTTGTATGTTTTGAAGGATTCACAAGAAACTAGTAAAGGTATTTAACCTTTGGATGAGGAACTGGGAAAAGGAGGGTAGCTTTCAACTTTCACTTTTTATTTTGTATTTTTTAAAGATTTTATTTATTTATTTTTAGAGAGGGAAGGGAGGGAGAAAAAGAGAGAGAGAGAAACATCAATGTGTGGTTGCTGGGGGCCGTGGCCTGCAACCCAGGCATGTGCCATGACTGGGAATCAAACCTGCGATGCTTTGGTTCGCAGCCAGCGCACCATCCACTGAGCTACGCCAGCCAGGGCTCTGTAATTTTTTTTATGGCATGAATTTTCTAATCTCATAGATGTGTTTCTTTTAATTTTTACAAATTGTTCCATATGGAATATTGGGGAAGGGATATACATTTTATTTGCTTTTCTGTGTTTTTCTATAAAATAAGAAGAAATGTCACGCTATTTTTATAATATTATGAGCCAGTAAAATGGATAATGTAGATATTTTATCATGACAGGGTGTTGAATTTTGTCAAATGCTTTTCTGCATCTATTGAGGTAATTATACAATTTTTAGCCTTTATTAATGTAGTGTATCACATTTATTGATTTGTGTAGTTGAACAATCCTTGCATTCCAGGGATAAACCCCACTTGGTCAGGGTGTATTATCCCTTTCTTCTTGGTGCCAATTTTAAATAGTTGTATTAAAGACATTGCATTTTCCACTTCACAATACAGCACTCATGAAGTGCACTATTTCCTTTTCCTGTGCACACAGTCCATATTCAAGTATCAAGAATGCCAAGTTGTTTAACTATGCAACAGCTCAACTTTTAAAACTGCCATGGCATTGGTTCCAAATTTGGGTCCTTTCATATGTTGCACAGAACACTGCTAAGTCTCTGCTCAAGGCTGGCTTCGTCAGCCTCTGACGGTGGGCCCAGCGGAGGCCCACGAGATGAAGGGCTCCCCCCGACCCCCCACCAGGGAAGCCCAGGCCTTCCTCCGGCGTGCCTCCTGCACTCTGCTACAGCGTGGTGATGACAGGGCTGCAGGCTTTCTCCAGCTCTTTCTGCTGATGCTCAGATTCTTTCTCTTCTGCAGTCTGGTTCTTACTGAGCCAGTGATGATTTCATTGTGCTTTTCGAGAACATTCTGTTTGTCATCATTGTCGATCCTGCCTTGAAGTTTTTCCATCTTCAACAGCTGTTTCCATGTTGAATGCATAGGATTCAATATTATCCTTTGAATGTACTGTTCAATTCCGTTTGCTAGTATGTTGCTGAGAATTGTTGCATCTCTGTTCATCAAGGATATTGGCCTGTGGTTTTCTTTTCCTGCATTGTCCTTATCTGGCTTTGGTATCAGGGTTATACGCTGGCCTCATAAAATGAGTTTGGGAGTGTTCCCTCCTCTTCCATTTTTTTCGAGGAGTTTGAAAAGGATTGGTGTTCATTCTTCTTTAAATGTCTGGTAGAATTCACCAGTGAGAATATCTGGTCCTGAGCTTTTCTTGGTGGGAGATTTTTGATTACTGATTCACTGTCTCACTTATTGGTCTGTTCAGGTTTCCTGTTTCTTCATGATTCAGTCTTGGTAAGTTGTGTGTTTCTAGGAATTTATTCATTTCTTTTAGGTTATCCAGTTTGTGTCTTATGGTACTTTTTACCTCTTTGTATCCATTGTAATGGCTCTTCTTTAATTTCTGATTTTCTTTCTTTTTTTTCTTTTAAAGATTTTATTTATTTATTTAGTTTTAGAGAGAGGGCCAGTAAGGGAGAAAGAGAGGGAGAGAAGCATCGATGTGTGGTTGCTTCTCATGTACCCCGTACTGGGGAACGCCTTGCAACCCAGGCATGTGTCCTGACTGGGAATCGAACTGGCAACTCTTTGGTTTGTAGGCCCATGCTCAGTCCACTGAGCTATACCAGCCAGGGCATCTTGTTCTTAAATCTCCCTCCTTGGTTCCTATTATGTCCTCCTGTGCTGTGTTCCTGCCTTGGTTTCCTACCCAGGATATCAGTTTTTGGCACTAGAGTCCTACCCTTCAACCCCAGACCGTTTGGCTAGTCCCCTGCTTCTTGCTGCCAGGACTTCCTAGTTCCCACTGCTTGCCTGGATCTCTGCCTGTCAGTAACCACCAGGCTCCTCTGAGACCAGAGGTGGAGCTCTGGCCTCTGGCAGCAGAGCTGGGAATGGAGGTGGAGCCGGCAACCACAGCATGCACGTGCCTGCCTATTTGCTCTCCTCTGCCCACAGCACTTCCTCACGGCCCTGGGAGGGCTCGTGGCAGTGCCGCTCATCCTGGCCAAGGACCTGTGTCTGCAGCATGACCCCCTCGCCCAGAGCTACCTCATCAGCACCATTTTCTTCGTCTCCGGCATCTGCACCCTCCTGCAAGTGTTTTTGGGAGTCAGGTAGGTACAACGCCTCAGTGAGGATTCTGACTTTTATCTGTCAACAGGGTGTGCTCGGATTGTGGCTGGACAGGTGGTTAGGAAGCTGGTGGAGCATGATAGGGGGAGCACAGGGCTAGGAGTCAGAGCCTGGGTTCGAGTCCTAGCTCCACCACTTACTGTCCATATTAACTAGGAACCTCGATTCAAGTAACATGAATCCAGATTAGCTTAGGCAAAATTGTTCTTTGTTAACTTAGCAGATCAAGCCAAGAGAAAGGCAGGGTGCACCCGCATCAGGAACATGTTGGTTGAACCAGGGGCTCAGACGCCACTGGAGCTTTCTCTGCATCTCGTCTCTACTCACACATGCCCCTGATCCTGGCGAGACCCAGGCTAAGAGGACAAATGGAGACCCACACACTCCATGTCTAAGAACTGGAGCGTTATAAGCCAAGCTTACTAACTCTTAAATAAAATATATTCTGATCATCTTACCTGGGAGGCCAGGTTTGAGTTTAGAATTCTCTGACTCCTCAAAGTTCTATTTTGGATCCTGGGGGTCTGGGGACGGCCCCCAGCCTGCGGCCTTCCCCCTGTTCTTCCCTCCCGAGCTCTGCTCCAGATCGCAAATGGTCCTGCGTGCATGCCTGTGGGCACGCCAAGCTGCCCCTCGAAGTTCCACCCACACACCCCTGCCCCCCAAACAGCTGCGCCCCGGCCATCCTTCAGGCCTCGGGTGTGCACACCTGCCCCATCATCTGCCTTCAGCAGGACACACCTGGGGAAGGGGCCCAGGCAGGGTCTGGAAGAGGCTCAGAGCCATTTGGGAAGAAAATTCTTGGGATTCAAAGAGGAAGGGCACATGGACTGAGGTGAGCATGTCTCCTTGGCCCTGCAGACACCTCCCTGGAGGAGGCCAGAGTGAGGCCCACTAGAACATGGGCTCAGTGCGGGAAGCTCCCCTTTCCCGTGTGAGGGCAGGGCTGTCTCTCCATCACCCTGCCAGCGCCTGTTCTCTCAGACAGGCTTCCTGCTCTGGCTGTGGGCAGGGCCGCTGGCAGCGACCCCCTAAAGTGAGCAAGTACTGCTCTGGCTGGCCTCACATTGTCAAATTCCAGGGAAGAGCTCTGACTGGCACAGTTGAAGCCAAACGCCCAGCCCTGGGTCTACCAAGGGAGCAAACACAGCAACCCCCTTTAAGGAAGGATGGGAGTTGAAGCAGAAAAGATGGATTCTGTTCTGAGTAAACAAGGCATCCACTGCACCAGATCTGTGCTCTGGCACCTGTCAAAGCAGGCAAATGATGATGTGGGCCCTGCTCCCTCACAGTAGCATTGAGACAACCGATTGGTATAATGACTATAATTCATTTTCTTTTAAACCATCAAGTCCTTTATGTTTAAACGCAGGCTGCTCAGCTCAATCTGAGTATAGTAAGTCCTGTTGCTCTGGAGCTGGCCTGGACAGAACTGGGAAGGAAGCCGAGAAAAGGGGTCTTTGGAGCCCCCTTCCCCCGATTTCCACATGTCTCCTCACATCCCCTCCCTCCACCCCCTGCTCCCCCTGAATCCCAAGAACCTGCTCCATCCAGTTACCGCCTTCCCGGGACATGCCTCCCCGCAGGTCCCACGGGCCTTTCCTGGGGAATCGGCCGGTCCCGTGTCCTCGTCCTTTACCACTGACTCAGCAGCTAGCCCAAGAGCAGCCTGAAGACTATACAGGCTTGGGTGTCCTCGTTACGAAAAAGGACACAAAATTATGAGTACAAAATCATGTACCAAAAAAAGGAGAATATTCACATAGAATAAAAAGCAAACTCACAACCCATTACAAAATGTTTAAAAAGGAGATCAATATCACAAATGCCAGAGATTCCAAAACACAGCCTGATATCCTTTATTATTTCATTTTCCCACAGTTCACTATGAGACTTCCCCCCCGCCCCGCCGCATCTTGTGATAGCACACTCTTTGGTTACCTCCTCATTTTACAGCGAGAAGGAGAGATTATGCGGTCATTCCCCAGCACTGGCTGGCCCAGACTTGTTTGTTATTGCCGAGAGTCGGCGCGTGTTAGCACGCCTCACACACAGACCGTAGAGGGAGATTTGTTTGTGTTCCTCAGACACAGGCACTCTGATAAATTCTACCGTGCTTGATTCCTATGAAAAAACTTTAAATGCATGGTGCATTGATAATTGTACTTGCTGCCTTGTTAAGGGTAGGAGTTTTCTCCTATTGCTGATAGGAGAAAACTTCCATTTTCCCTGCGCACCAGTGAGAACCAAACCTCCCCTGGCAATTGAGCATATTGCCAAATTTCCCACCCACTTGGTTCTGGCTGCACACGTTGCAAACCTTGTTTCTCATCCACCAATCACACACGTCCAGTGCCAGGTGCTATATAGGACACATTTGGATCATCGTGCGACCTCAGGTCCTGCACCTCTGTGTCACAAGGCAGAGAGAGGGGGCTGGCACGGCCATGACACCAAGACAGCTAGCAATGAACTAACTATTCATGGGTAGTTTAGTGGTCTCAGACACACGAATACGTCCCAGTACATTCAAACTAAATTTATCCGGGCTTACCTTCCACCTAGCCAGGTCCTAAAAGTGTCATCAGATGTGAGGCGTGGAGTTAGGGCAGTGGCGATGGAAAGAGACAGTAGTGGTAGCCAGTTTGGCTGAAACCTTTCACTTCTGCAAATTTTACAAAGGTGCGTGGCTCATGAAAGCACACCGGCCCCTCCGCGGATGTTAGAAGGAGCCATGCAAGTCAGGGCCTCACCGCAAGCCTGGTTTTGACCTACTCTCTGCCCGGCCTGCCTTATGAGGAAACGACGTGATGGGAAAAGTTAATATCCATTCAATCTCTATCAGTTGTCTGAATCAAGCCATGCAGATGCAGACCGGCATGGGGCTGGGTTCCCAGGACAGGCTGACCGTAAACAGCATCCAGGCCCAAATGCTCGTTCCCAGTGCGGCCTGTCTGCGGAAGTCAAACACAGGCACTCTTGGGCATGCTCCCTTCTCAAGCCGTTCCAGGGAGATACAACAGGGCAGGAGCTCTCCCGTTCTCTGGGGAGGACTGGAAGACCGGTGTCTGCATCTTTGGCAGGTTATTCCCCGTCCTCCCTCTTCCTTCTTCTCACACCATCTCTGTGAGCTCAGGTCTCTTCCAAACCCCCACCCCAGACACAACGAGGTACAGGGTTTGGGCTGGGCTGTCTCTCGGGTGCAGCCCACACATGTACCGGGAAGGTGCATAAAGGAAAAATCAGAAACGCAAAAATATGTCTGTCTGTCTATCTATCATCTGATTATCTACCTTTCTATCTATTTAAAGAGTACCGACAAGAAGTTATGAGAAAGAAATGGGGAAGCCTAACAGAATGGGGAGGGGGGTGGAGAGGAAAGGATGGAAAACAGAACTGGGAGATCAGAGAACAGCATAATGAAGAACTTATTGATACATTTGGTGAACCTAAAGGTAGGCCATGATAAAACAGTGAAACAAGTACATGGAGAAATTCATCTTGAACACAAAAGGTATTTGGCCATTACAAAAAGGCAGCCAGTCCATATATCGAATTATCCTAAACATGTAAAATTATCTCACAAGACCATCACATGAACAGAATTAGCAAAGTGTTTATCTACTTGAAAATTTTTAAAAACTCCCTTAATAATGTCTCAACTGGGGACAAATTTCTGCATACAATAACAGAAAACATTGTTAAAAAATGAAAATAAACCTCATCATCATAAGAATTCTCATATTCTGGCAGTATCCAAACTCTATATAATGTGTAGTAGACAGCTTATACACAAGGAAAACCAGACATAAAATCCCACGAATGAGTTCACATATTTCACGACCAATGAAATACAAAGTCACATTTATTAGAGCTTCATTACATGCCTATGAAAATTTAAAAAAGGGAAATGATAAAATCCAGTGTTGGCCGGCTTTCTGTGGCCCCGGCTCGGTGCCGGAGGGATGGCAATGACAAGTAAGCACTCCGCCCTCGCAGAACCCAGGAACCAGATGCGGCTGAGGCAGCCGCGGCAGGCTAACGCGGGGAGGGTTTGTACGTACATTGCAGGTACATTGCAGGCCTGATTACCCACGGTAGAACCTATCTGTGGGCGTGGGTCCTGTTCATCTCTGAGTGGGAGCTGGGCCCACACCATGCAGAATGTAAGGGTTTAAAACAATCCCTGGGAGCAAGGCACTGCAGGTGGTTGGTCCGCTGGAACAAGGGCCGACGGAGAAATGTGTGATTAGAATGTAAGCAGACCTCGGTCTCACTCACCATGGTGTGTGTCCCCAATACCACGGCACCCAATGCCGGCCACCTGGCAGGTCCTCAGAAAACATTTGTTGAACGAATGAAGTTATAGCAAAAAAAATGTTCTCTTATTATGTACTCTTTGGTTATACCCACATACAGAGATTTGTATGTTTATTTTAAGAGCTCAGAAGGGATTTGGCAATAAGTACAGCATGTTTCCTGTTCTGCCAGGAAACGTAGACTCACAGTTTTTAAGTTAAAACACGTTATTCACACCTTCCCTCCCACCACCCGCACGCTCCTGCCTTGCGTGTGCCGTGTAGCCCATGCCCCTTCGGAGACCTATGGGTCTAGATTTGCGAATCCAGATCAGTTGTTCTCAACCCCAGCGGCTCAGCAGGACCACCCGGAGCTTCCTGCCCTCCCTGCGCCTGGGTGCCCTCCTGAACCACCCGCTGCCGCGTCGGAACCAGGCACCGCTGATTCCAACACTGGCCGGGCTGCAGGGGCCACTGAGACAGAGAAACTCTGTCATCAACTCGATATCCTCCTTTCACAAAATGTGTTCAGTCGTTCTCCAGGATAGCTCTCTCAGATGTCTCCTGGACATCCTGAGTTCAAAAACACCCCTCCAGTGTTGTTGTTTAAAAAAAAAGCCTCTGAACTCCGTGTGTGCTACAGTGTCCAGCACAATCAAGGTGCCGGGGTCCCTCGGCCCACTCCCCACCCCCACGTTGGAACGTCCATGGGCGGGCAGACTAGGTGTGCCTCCACAGTAAGAGTGGATCGCTGGAGGTGGACCTATCAGGTGTGTGCACCTGGGAGGGAAGACAGGTCTGTAGGCGCAGCTGGATGTTCTCACGGAAGCCAGAGTGCCACGCTGACGGTGGGGGGGGCGGTACCAGGGGGATGGGGGAGGGCCGAGGTGGGGAGCACACCCTGCTAACTGACCTCAAACCCATCTATCCGTGTGACAAAAAGGAGCCTGCAGGTGGAGGCCTGGGGCTGAGGTTCGTTTCTGGAGATGCACGGGAATCTGGCAACCCAGGTGTCAGGCTGTGCCCTCCCCTGTTGGCCAGAGCACGTCCCCTGTCCCCTGTGTGAGCTGCGCCTTGGCCTCGGGGCCTGGGGAAGGTCCGCTGAGATGGGGCAGACCGTGGCCCCCATGAAGCGCGTTGGCTGAGCTCTGTGCTGTCTCTGAGTTATCCCCCAGGGCCTGACTGTCTGCTGCTGGGCTTGCGTCTCCCAGACGGGGGTTAGGTCTGCTGGCCTTTCACCTGCCCACCTCTCCTACCTGTCCAAAGGTCGGCAGGGCTCGAGGGTCTGAGTGGAGGCTTTGCAGGAGCTCCGTGTGTGCTGAGAACAGCAGGCTCCCTGAGCTGCCTCTAAGCCCAGCTGGGACTCGGGATTAAAAGGCCCCCAGTGGAGGGTGGTGACAGGCCAGTGCTGAAGCACTGTGTGAGCAACTGTGTTCTTCCCCTCCTCCAGGCTGCCCATTCTCCAGGGAGGGACATTTGCTTTCCTGGCCCCCTCCCTGGCCATGCTGTCTCTTCCCGCCTGGAAGTGTCCCGAGTGGACACTCAACGCCAGCCAGGTGAACACCAGCTCTCCTGAATTCACCGAGGAATGGCAGAAGAGGATCCGAGAGGTAACGGGACATGAGGAAGGGGCGGGGTGAGTGCGTGTGTGGAGTGGAGGGTTACTCAGCTCGGGGAGGGGGGGCCGGGGGCTGCTGGGTTGATTCGCTTGTTCGGCATGCATTGTTCAGCTCACCACTGGGCAGGATCCTGGGTGTTAAGACACTGCTGCAGATAAAACAGTGTGTCGATACACAGGACTGGGTGGGAAGGCGAGATGAAGGTATTCCAATAAGTAAATAAAAAGGGGGAATTTCAGGGGTTACTGTGAGATGAAGAAAATCAAGCGGAGTGATGAGCAGGAGACGGACTGGGGCTGCCAGGGTGGAAAAGATGGAGGGAGCGTTAGGTGTGCTTGGCTCACTCCCACATTTCAAGGAGGAAGAGTGTGGGCATGTTCCTGGCCAGTCCCAGGAGGCAGAGAGGCTTTAAATTAAGTCATCAAGTGTCATTGTTGATGCCAAGTGGGGTGGTGAGTACTAGGACTGCAAAGGGACGAAAGACACGTCACAGCAATGATGATGGCGATGACAATGATGGTGATGACGATGATAGTGATGGTGGAGATGACAATAGGAGCAGGTTGTGGTAACAAAGTTCTTAGAGTTTTCCAGACATTCCGCTGCAAGTTTTTCACAGATGCACAAGTGCAATGTTGCCTTGATGCAGACCCTAGCTGGTGGGGTCCGCAACATTATGGATGGGGGAGAGACATTCACACGGACTATTGAGTCTGGTGGAAGAAAAGGGCCAGCATGGCTTTTTCTCTCGAGGGGAGCCAAAAGCCGTGGCCTCCACCATGACAGGCCTTTATTTCTTTTTCTGCATGTTACATGATGGTCCTCATTACTATGCACAGGTTCGCTTTAGGTGGTTACCTTTTACAGAAAACAAAGGAGCCAATGCCGCTAATCACATCCCAGAAGAAGGATATCTGAAAATGAAAAGGGAAAAGTGGTTGAACCCGTTTCACTCCATACTTGGGAGGTTTAGCATGGATTTTAGGAAGTTACTCTGCAGTAAACGTTTGCTGCCTCAATTCAGGGTGAGGGAGTTTTAGCAAAAGCAAGTCTCAAAGCAGCCTAGGTACATTGCAGGCCTGATTCCCCATGGGAGAACCTATCTGTGGGCGTGGGTCCTGTTCATCTCTGAGTGGGATCTGGGCCCACACCATGCAGAATGGTCTCCTACATTGCCTGTACCCAGAGTGGGCTCCAATTAAGAGGAAACCAAAGTGCAGGACCAGGTCTGGCTCAGTACCACCCTGGCTCAGTACCACCCTGGATCAGTACCACTCTGGCTCAGTACCACCCTGGCTCAGTACCACTCTGGCTCAGTACCACTCTGGCAGTGGGTGCTGTCTGCTTAGTCTGCCCACTTGGGCCAGGTGGGCCCCTGTGCTAATCTGCTGCGAAACCCAACCCTTAATTCAGTCGTATCATCGGGGCAAGGAACTGGTGGCCTTAATGTATGAGGGGGGCCTCAGAAAACTCCAGAATTTATTGATTAAAAATAGTGTATTTATTCTTACATGTTTAAACTTAGGTCACCTTCAAAGTACTCTCCATTTGATGCATTACACCTATGGAGACTTTTTTTTCCACTGCTCATAACAGTTTTTGAACTTGTCGACATGGATGCCTTTTAGTGCTTCTGCCATTTTTTTGTTCCACCTCTTTGACATCGGCAAAACGTTTCCCTTTGTGGACTTTTTTCATTCAGGGAAACAAAACAAAAGTCGCTCAGGCAGAGATTGGGTGAATAGGGAGGGTGGGGCACGGGGGTCATGCCATTTGTGGCCAAAAACTGCCGAAAACTCAGCACAGTGTGGGCAGGTGCGCATGTGCATCACCCATCAGGAAATGGGCAAACAGGTTGGAAGAACCTTCAGAAAAATTCACTGGAGCTGAACGCAGCCTCTCACAACAACGCGAGCTGGTGCACCAATACAGACAGGTTCTTAGCAGGGGAAGCCTGTCCTCCAAAGGGCCCTCCCTCCAGGAGATAATTCCATTTGTGGTTTTGGTTTTTTTTTTTTTTTGCTCCCCCACCACAGACTCTGAAGTTTGGCCTTGCTCTAGGTGGGCTTATCTAATCAGCAGATAAGGAAGGCAGCACACTCAGGATTCTCTCCAGAGAGTTCAGCCACCTCCGAAGGAAAGTAGATTTTACAACCCTCCCTGGTATTGCGGTTGAGTGGGCAAGGGTGGCTTGTGGGTGAGGCCCTATCTGAGAGAGTACAGGTCACTTGAGATTTCTAGGAAGCCCAACCACCTCCCTCCCAGCCGGCCTTAGACACCTAGGCCTGGGGCCAGGCCACGGGCCACCTCCTCCAGAGGAGGCACAGACTTTCCCGCCCGATGACGGGGTTCCAGTCCAGAATGTGTTCAGACCTGCCTTTGGCACTGCCTGCCCCCCAGTCCAGAATGTGTTCAGACCTGCCTTTGGCACTGCCTGCCCCGGGCTCACCAGAACCTGGCCAAGGACATTGCGGGACTCAGAGCAGTGTCTGTTCCCGGGATATCCCCGGGAGCTAAGCTAGCAAGCCCTGGACTGGCGGGGGTCCATCCTGGAGCCCACCCTGGTCCATGTTCAGGCTCCTAATGGCCTTGTGGCTGTGACAACAGTCTCATCCCCTGTATGTGAAAGGTGCAGGAGGAGGGAAGTCAGAGGAGGGGACATGGTACAAGATCCCTGTTCTTGCCCATATTCGACCAACAAGAAGGAATAGAATCAACAAAACATTTCAGTGCATACTGCTACTACTGTATGCTCGAGAATATTGCTTTAGCTTTACTTTTTCTCCCCTATGAACTCAATTAGTCTGTGACCCATCCTAATCGTAATTAAATGTGCCCTGATGTGCCAGCCACACTCACAGTGTCCGCTCCTCCTTGTCCTTGCAGTAACTCTGGGCCCAGCGGCGTGAGATGACTTTCAGTTTTAGCGGAACGACCCTGACACCACCGTCCTTCATCTCAGACTGGAGATGTATCTAGAAATGTTGCTAAGAAATAATCTTATTGTTTTCAACTTATTTTATCTTTTAATGTTTATTATTGTTTTAGTCCTCACCTGAGGAGGCCACACTGGTTGATTTTAGGGAGAGGGGAAGGGAGGTAGGGAGAGAAACATCGATGCGAGAGAGAAACATGCATCACTTGCCTGCCGTATGCGCCCTGACTGGTGACCGAACCTACAACCCAGGCATGTGTCCTGACCAAGAACTGAACCCGCGACCTTTTAGTTTACGGGATGACACTCTAAGCAATGGAGGTACACTGGCTAGAACTCAACTTATTTTCAGCGTAAAGGGAAAAAGTAGCATCATTTAGTAAAGTCATCTGTCAGGTGGCTCCTGTTCTTCCTGCACCACCTTCTGTTTCCAGCCCCTTCTCAGCCCATCCCTCGCTCCTGTTAGAAGGCGGGGTTCCCAGTCCTCCTCCACTGTCCTTCCGGTAGCGGGCAGCAGCAAGAGGGACACTGTTAAGCCCTGCTGCGTGACCTTCGCCAAGGTGCTTTCAAATGATTTCATAAATATATGGTCACCGCATCCTCTCCACTGGGTGGGACGCATCCTGAAAACACCGTACTTCCCGGTCTGGCCCATGAATAGCCTCAGAATTCCAGTAAGTCCAGTTAAATGGATTTCTGTTTTTCCCATCGCAGGGAACACGAGTAAATCCCTGGGCCTGGGAAAAGAGTGTTTTTATACCCCTCTCGTTTCTCAGCCTGTCCTTTGGAAACGGCTCCCCAGGTGACTCCCTTCCCTGCACCTCGAGTTCTGCTTGACCTTGCGCCTCCTCCCTGGGAAAGCCAGCCCTCGGGGTGCCTGCGTCGCCCGCATGTGTGGTTCCAGGCACACCCTCTAATTTTTCAATAATTTCACTGCCTGTGGGAAATGGTGTGAAATATGAAAAGATCCCTCGATATTGTGTTTCTTGGGCCCTTCCTGCCCTGTTCATGCTGTGAAAAGTGACCCTGGAGTTTTACAAGTTGATATTCACGTTTGTGGGCTGTCTCCGCGACCGGTCTTGCTATAATAGCAATCTGGGTCAGGGCTTCGCTTGCAGAATGGGCAAAGCTCCAACCAGAAACACCAGGGATGCCAGTTTTTAAAACAGTCAATCCCCCCCACCCATGCTCGGTGAATGTCCAGCACAGGCAGCCTGTGGGCTCCGTGATGGGCCACAGACCCTCACGTTTGACCACCAAGGGCACATGTGGCCCTGGCTTTGGCAACGTCAGTGACTTCAGACGGATATGGGGATTCCGTTGTTTGTGAGCCTGTGTGCGCATGCCTTGTGGCCCAAGGTGTCACCTCGTGGGCCTCAGGGACTCCATTGAAAGTCACGCTTCCCTCCTCTTTTGAAACCGTGGGGCATCAACATGAGCCACCGGTATTTGAGGTTCGACTGAAAATCCTGTCCCCCAAAAGGTGAAATTTCAATAGCACTTTCCACGGTCCACTTGCCAGGTCACACTGCTGGTCCGCTGGCCACAGCCCGAGAACCTGCGTGATTGCACAGAAATAACTCTGGGTGTGTTTGTGTGCACCGTCCGCTGCACCCCAGGTGGCTCGGCCCACTGGCTGCATTCACACCTGCCTTGCTTCTCCCCCCAGGGCCCTTCTGTTGACACCTCATGCTCTTCCAGGCTCCCACTTTCTCCGCAGCACCTGTAGCAAAGCTCCACCTGGGGCTTTCTGAATTCAAAGACCCACATGGTGGGGCCCAAGTCTCTGTTGCTGCAGTTTGAGTATCCTGTGACGTAGCACCTGACCCAGGAAAGGGGGGACCCTATGAATCCTTCCTGCGTAACCGCCTTTTCTTTTCCTGACTATTGCTATCTCCCTTGAATCAGCAAATGATCTTCTTCTTCCTTATTCGAATGTCTTTCTGACATCACTCAAGATATGGGATCTCTGAGGTCAGAGCTTTTGGTGCCATTCGCTAGCGGTCTAATTCCCAACAGTGCCCACCAGCAGGCTCCTGAGTAATGACCTTTTAAAGGGAGGGTGACCGAGCAGCTGCTCCAGGCCACAGCCACACGACAGACAGCCCCATGACAGGGCTGATGCACCTGGCTTTGAACGGGGCCAGCCATCGTGCAGTGTGGGGTCTCACCACCGGCCCTCCTGCTACCTCGGGGAGTGCAGTGCTTGTAAGGACACAGCAAGTCGGTCTGAGCCAAATAGCTAGTGAATTTCAACCAGAACCTCCTGTTGTTTTTCCCGTGGAAAGACAGCCCTTTGGCAGGTGCCTGTGCTCTGATCACCCGGATGTGGTGCACTTCAGCACTGTAATCGAGTCCTCAGGCTTCCTTTTTTAATCTCAGGGTGGGTCCTGGGTTAACAGGGCTTTCTGATCTCTAGAGAACAGCTCCATGTAGTTCCAGACCAAGATCGCCCTACGAATGGCGCTTGTCAGGCTGGTGGGCGCTGGGTTTTTACCCGGTTGATTGCCCAGTTTCAGAAGGCTGTGCATTGCTGTGTGATTCTCCAAATCGGGACGCTCTTCTTCAGTGAAGCCTCGTTTTACCATCTCATCAGTAGGATGAATCCCAGACCACATGAGGGTTGGGGGGCTTTGTCTGTTTGTGTTGTGTTTGTGTTTTGTTGTTTGCTTCCGCTGCCCCTAGCGAGCCTATACTCGAGTGTGATACATTTGAATTAGAACTAAGCAAAGAACAAGGAGCAGGACTTGCTCACCCCGCTCGGCCAGATGCCAGGGGCAGGATTTCCCTTTGCCGACCTCCTGGGGGCTGCGATTCCTTCTGCACGCACTTTCTGCCTTCATACTATCCAAGAAGAAAGATCTGGCATGTTCATTTGTCCCTTCTCCTACCTGATGACTTCTGCGGCTCAAAGCCTCCCTGGGTTCTGATGAACTGTGTGCGCTTCTGACACCACCGCACTCAGAAGCACTTACCCGTGTTTTGAGGACAGTGAGCAAGAGTTATGGCAAGCAGTTCCCCTGGGGCTTGAACAGTACTAGTGGTGAGAGAGGACGTGTCGGGACACGGGTCACGCCTTCCCTGTGCTGAGCGACGCCCATGTCTTCCCCAATACACATGCTGTTGATTTGGGGTGCATGATAAACGGAGTCCTCCAAGGCTGGAGTCAGCAAACTGTGGCTCTTGAACCAAATCCAGCCTGTGGTCTGTGTGTGTGTGTGTGTTTTTTTTTTTATTTAACTACCCACAAACTAAGAATGGCTTTTACATTTTATAAGGCTATTTTTTAAAAATAATATGTAACAGAAACCTCATCTGGCCGACAAAACCCAAAGTATTTACTATCCTGCCTTTCACAGACCGAGTTTGCCATCCCCGCTCTGAAACACAGGCCCAGGGCAGGCTTTCCTCTCGCCGGGGTCTAGGGCAAGAGACTCATTTTTTCCCACTTCTCCAAGTGTTCCTCACTGTGAGCCCCGACCCGGGGTTCGACCTCTGGTACTTTAGCTCCATCTGCTGGTCCGGTGCTTTTCACCAGTGCTACAAACAAGAGAAGGTTCTTACAAGTTTTAACCTCATTCTATTTTATTTTTGTAAAGATTCATTTATTTTTAGAAAGAGAAAGGGAGAGAAAAAGAAAGGGAGAGAAACATCAATGTGTGGTTGCCTCTCACACACCCGCTAGTGGGGACCTGGCCTGCAGCCCAGGCCTGTGCCCTGACTGGGAATTGACCCTGTGACCCTTTGGTTCACAAGCTGGCACTCAATCCACTGAGCCACACCAGCCACAGCTCAACCTCATTTTATTAATGGGTTGATTGATTGACTTTACTTGCTGAGCCAGCCTACTGGAATTTAAGGTAGATTCTCCATGTTCCACTGAGTTATATGTGTCTACACACCTCTCAAGTCTTGAAACTGCTGATGGTCAGCAGATCACCTGTATGTCACGATACTGGCCACAAACGAAAGTGACGTGAATATAGGAGCGGTAGGGATGCCCTTACCCACTGGGATAGGAGAGGTAACGGGCAGGTAAAACGGAGCCACGATTCTATTTTAAGGACTTGGTGGCAGCAGAAAAAGTAGAAAACTGTGGGAAGGGATGGCAAGTTCGGTCTTTAACACATTAGATCGGTTTTGACTTGGCCTCCCAGTGTCAGGGTAGCTTGTATTCATATGTGTCTACGAGCTGAGTGAAATGAACTATGGCAATGCATGGGCAGGACGAGCAAGGGTTACTGTGTTATTGGAAGGTACTCAGCCTGCCCGTGAAACGGTGCCATGTTCTTTGAAACTGGACCTGGCTTGGCTGTAAGTGTTATTGCACACTCTGGGGCAACCACTAAAAATTGTTTAAAAAGAAGAGAAAATGCTAAGAAAGGGGATAAAGTGAAATCACATAAAAGGCTCAATGAAAACCACAAAAGGCAGAAAAAGAGTGGAAGACAAAAATAGGAATCAAAAACAAAGGCAACAATTAGAAAACAGTGATGAATCAGGTAGGTACTAATTGGACCACATCGATGACCACTTTGAACATCACTGATCTCAATGCACCAATTAAAAGACAGATTGGCTCCGGCTGTGGTGGCTCAGTGGATTAAGGGTGGGTTGCAAACCATAGGGTCGCTAGTTCGATTCCCAGTCAGGGCATATGTTGGGGTTGTGGTCCACGTCCCCAGTAGGGGGTGTGTGAGAGGCAACCACCCATTAATGTTTCTCTCCCTCTCTTTCTCCCTCCCTTCCCCTCTCTAAATGGATAAAATCTTAAAAAAAAAAAAAAAAAAAAAGAAGAAGAAGACAGAGATTGTCAGAGTGGATAAAAAAACAAGACTCAATTCTATGTTGTCTACAAGAAACCCATGTTAAATATAAACCAACATGAAGACGAAATGTAAATAGATGGAGAGAATATATACCATGCTAATACTAATCAAAAGGAAGCAGGAACCACTATATGACTTTCAGAAAGAGCAGACTTCAAAGCAAGGGAAGTTGTCAGGAATAAAATGGAATTGTAACATCTGGGCTAGTAAACTGAAAAAAGGAGCACTAAAGGAAACCAAACCAGCCCAGTGGACCAGGGGCTGGGAAGCTGCAGCCAAATGAGCCAGATCTGGCCTGTTGCCTCTTTCTGCACAGCCCACAAGCTAAAAATGGCTTTACATTTTAAGTGGTTGAAAAAAATCAGATGAAGAGTAGGAGATCATCATGTGTCAGAATTACGTGAGATTCCCATTTCAGAGCCTATACGTGAGGTTGTACTGGAGCAGAGCGTGGCTCGTGGGTCCCCTCGCTGTCTGGAGCAGTTGTGACGGAGCCCGTACGGCCTGCACAGTCTGAGATACTCACGCTCTGGTCCTTCACAGGAAAAAAAATCAGCAAGTCTTGCAATAGAACACAGGAACACAGAGAAAAATAAAGCAAAAACATGTTCAGTGCACCATTAAGTGATGCTAGTGTTAAGAGTGATCATCATCGTCATCACTGTGGGCAATGGATACTTTTAAAGGCTATGCTTCCTGAGAAGGGTCGTATTAAGTGGAAATGTCTAACAGGTGGTCCGGAACTAGAGCGAGGAGTGAGATCAGAGCTCTCCTTCTCCCGGGTCCTTTGCGGTCCAGCCTTGCCCCTGCACTGCCTCTGAATGTAGCACTTAGGGGGAACTAGATTTAGAAGTGGGCTGGGCTGGGCTGGGCTGGGCTGAGGCCCAGGTCCTGCCACAAGCCCCAGGATGCCTGAGCCGCGCCCTCTCTTCAGTTGCAGGGCGTCGTCATGGTCGCCTCCTGTTTCCAGATGCTCGTGGGCTTCTCGGGACTCCTCGGCTACCTCATGCGCTTCATCGGCCCCTTGACCATCGCTCCGACCATCTCCCTGGTGGCCCTGCCTCTCTTCAATTCTGCCGGCAATGATGCCGGGGCCCACTGGGGGATCGCCGCCTTGTAAGTCCTCTCTGGGGAGGGAGTCCCGTCCAAGTTCTCTTTGGTGGAAGGTGACCCAGTAAGAATAATAAGAGCCCTGTACATGGGCCAACTCTGGAGTTTACAGATACTTTCACGAATGTTATGATGCTTTGAAAAGCAAAGAAATGGCTACTTATAATTTACTATTACTACTATGCCGTGAGTACATGCAGACAATGAGTTAACCACAGGCAGGACAGACTACTTTGTGTAGGGTTCACAGTAAGTTGAGACGGCTGGTCCCCTGCCTACTAGGTTTTCGCTGAGCAAATGTTTGTAAACCTCCGGCACCTGCGAAGGGTGCAAAGACATAACTTCAGAACTCAGGCCCATTACAATGTTGCAGAGGGAACACTTATACACCAGGAGACAGTGGTGAGGGTTAGAAAGTCAGGCATGCTCAGGGGTGGGGGTGGTGACAGCCAGCTGGCGGCATCAGGAGGGTTTCCTGGAAAAAGAGGCCTTAAGCATTGGAACAGAGCTTTGAAGGGACTTGAGGATGACACCGGATGCTGTCATTCCCTCTGCCCATTGTGGTCTCACCACCAGTACCTGTAGAATGACCTGGGAGAGGGGACCGTCTTGAGCCCTGGCCTCACTGGTTCTAACCGCTGCACCCATTCAGCTGCCACCCCCAAAGAACACTAGCCCCCCCCTTCCCACTACTCCTCTCCAGCCACCAGCAGCTTCTGAAAGGGAATGTCCCCCACTTTTCAGAGATGGCAGGACGCTGCCTGCGCTGCAGAGCAGGGCCTAGAAGGGGATTTTGCCGCTGTGGTGGCTGAGCGTCCTGCACCCTTGCTCAGGACAGGCCCCAGCTCACCAGGTCGGGTGTGGTTTCTGTTTCAGGACCGTCTTCCTCATCACGCTGTTCTCTCAGTATCTGAAGAACATCGCAGTGCCCGTGCCCCTTTTTGGACGGCAGAAGGGGTGTCGCGTCTCGAAGTTCCCGCTGTTTCAGGTCTTCCCTGTAAGAAGCGCTCCCACCCCCTTCCATTCTTAGTTGACTCACCTGGAGAGTGAGGGGCCTCCTGCACTCCTGGATAACCCCAAATCAAATGCTCCCCCCTCTGCGTGGCCTGCGCTCCATGACCTTCCCTAGTCCCCCTGTGGTCTGTGGAACGCTGCCTCACCACTGGGGGGATGCCATTCTAGGCTTTCTTCCCTGCTTCTCTCCCAGGAGCAGAGCACCCTGCCCTAGGTCGCGCCCTGGGCACCAGGTGGGGCAGCCTTCTCACGTTCCCTGGGCCATCCTTCCAGCAAGATACTAGGGCGGCCACCAGGCTCACCTCCTAATGATAGAAAACCAGGGGCCAAGATGCTTAGGTCAGGTTCTTTCTCAGTGGCTCATGGGTAATTCAAGTGCCCCGTGATGACGATGGTATCTCCCTCTTCAGAGCCTTCTCCGTTGCATTTGCACCACACAGCCAAGTGCACTGTCAACCGTACACGTTCTCAGGTTCAATTGAACAGGAAACTCCATTTCTTGCTGTAAGAAGACACTTCCGCATAGTGATCGCATCGATCCCTCACACCCCTGTAGGCCTGGGGCTCTAAAATTCAGTGTGCATACGCATCACCTGGGGACACTGCTTAAAATATAGATTTCCAGGGCTTAGCCCCCAGAGACTAAAAATCATATTTCCGAGGGACCCACTCAGAAATCCTGCTTCAGGCTCTACAGAGCACTGACTGTAATTCCATTGTACAGACGAGGAAACTGAGGCTCAGAGAATTTGATCCATGGCCATATGACCGGCCAACAGTAGAAACGGAGACGGACTATGTAATAAGTGCCCACCTCACCGGACATTCTGCCTCTATTTCACGCAAGGGCTCCCCATCATTTATTTTCTACGTCCCTTTACTGTGCTAATTATCCACCACACACTAAACTCCCCTTGTCCGGGAGGGGTGGCAGGGGCTGGGGCCGGCGCAGTGGTGAAGGCGGCTTCCTCCGGCAGGTGCTGCTGGCGCTCTGCATTTCGTGGCTCCTCTGCTTCGTGCTCACGGTGACCAACGCCCTCCCCTCGGCCCCCACGGCCTCTGGGTACCTGGCCCGCACCGATGCCAAAGGCAGCGTCCTGAGCCAGGCCCCTTGGTTTCGATTCCCTTACCCAGGTAAGGAGAAGATGGGGACCCTTCTGACCTGGGGCCCGCTTCTGGGACTGCCCATGGGGCGCAGGGCAGGGGATGGAGTATCGAATAGGGGCGCAGGCAGGCTTTCCTCCAAGGAATCCGACAGTGAGGCGCAGGCCCCAGGAGCCCGTATCAGACCCCTGAGAGAAGAAGGAGACCCCCAGGTTGTCCTAAGGCTCCTTTGGGGACAGGGAATGGCAGCGACACTGCTGGGGCACTGGGTAAGCCTGCTGACGGTGGCTCCTGAGGCAGGCAGGGCACCCACACCTGTCACTCAATGTATTAGTCTCCTAGTTGTTGTTTTAAAAAAAATTTTATTGCTTTTTTTCATTACCATTTAGTCCCCTTACACCCACAACCCCCCACAGCCACCACACTGCTGTCCGTGTCCACAAGTCCTTTTAGGCTCCTAGTTCTGCTGTAGCAAATCAGCACAAACTAAGTGGCTTCCAACAACCCGTATTCGTTGTTCCTCTGCTAGACCAGAGGCTCCCTCTGAGCTGGCCTGCGTCTCTCACCCCCTCTCCGCATGTGGGTCAGAGCCCGTGAGCCTGGGAGCAGGGAGGGGACAGCGAGGTCCCCACCTGCTAGCCGGACCTTTAGGTCTCCTCCCGGATTCCGTAGATCCCATACAAGGGAGGCGTGGGACTGAATGAAAACAGTTCTGGGGAGACAAGTTCAAGGCCATCCCTTAGGCCACTCCCGGTCTCCTTTCCCTGCAGTTCCTGGCTCAGGGTGTATAGATAACCAGGTGCCGGAGAGGACTGCCCTGGCCTATGGACTGTGGGGCTGGGGCTCCCTGAGTAAGACTCTCATCTCCCAAAGGCTTCGAGGTCTTTCTGGGAAGATGCTCCATTGCTGGTTCTTTCTGCGGACAGTGGCCTCAAGGTCAGGGTGTCTGACCTGCCCTGAGGGAGGAATGAGAGAGCAGGAGTCTGAGCCAAATCCTCCGGACAGTCAGTTGTGGGGGTGAAGACATGCTGCCCCATCTTTAAAGCCTTCCCGAGACCCCTCAGGCAAAGATGTTCCGTGGGGTTTGGCACCCTGTTACCTTCTGGGTTCATATTCCGTCTGCATTGCATTTTCAGGACAGTGGGGCCTCCCCACCATCAGCCTGGCTGGGGTCTTTGGGATCATCGCTGGGGTGATCTCCTCAATGGTGGAGTCTGTAGGCGATTATTATGCCTGCGCCCGGCTGGTGGGGGCCCCACCCCCTCCGAAGCACGCCATCAACCGCGGCATCGGCATCGAGGGCCTCGGCTGCCTGCTGGCAGGGGCCTGGGGGACCGGGAACGGCACCACCTCCTACAGCGAGAATGTTGGGGCACTGGGAATCACCAGGGTAGGTGGCTTCTCGGGGCCGGAGGGGACCTCAATCTGCCACTCAGTGTATCAGCCCCCTATTTCTGCTGTAACAAATTAGCACAAACTTATCAGCCTCGAACAACCCAAACTTATTATTTTACTGATGTGGAGGTCAGAGGTCTGACATGGGTCTCCGGGGACTACCTTTGGCAGGACTGCATTCCTGCCTGGAGGCTCCAGGGAAGAACCCATGTCCTTGCATTTTCCGTCATCTAGAGTAGAAGTCCCCACCCCCCGGGGCCAGGGGCACGTACTCCTCCGAGGCCTGTTAGGAGTCAGGCTTCAGGGTAAGCGGTGGTGGTGGGGAGCTTATCTGAGCTCCGCCTCCTGACGCCTCCCCCACCCCCAGCCTGAGCTTAGCCTCCTGAGCCCCGCCCCTGCCTGAGCTCCTCCTCCTGTGCCCCGCCCCTCGCCCCAGTAGGTGGAAAAACTGGTCCCTGGTGCCAAAAATATTGGGGACCGCTGATCTAGAGGCTGCCCTCATCCTCGACTATCCCCACCCCCATCCTCCATCTTCCAAACCAGGAACGTCGCACCTCTCTGGCCTCCCTCCCATAGTCACATGACCCTGACTACAGCCAGGAAATGTCCTGTGCTTATACCGACTCGTGTAATCACATCGGGCCTCCCTGGCTGTCTCAGGACTCCCTTTCCATCTCAAAATCCTCCCTCCACCACCTCTGGGAAGTCCCTTTGGCCATGCAAGGTAACACATTCCCAGGTTTGGGGGTTAGGACATGACCTCTGCGAGGGGCCATCATTCTGCTCACCATACTGGCCGTCGTGGTGGTGGCCACTCCACCGGCAGAAAGTCTAGCCTGGCGATCGCAGACATCAGTGGCTTTGAAGCGCTGAAGAAATGTTTTACTTTCCAAGGTTTGGGGCTCAGACCTCCGAACCTGAATAATTCAGCTGCCACCTGGTCACACCCTCATCCTTTCCCACATGCACCATGCCGGGGCAGAGCGGGGGTGGTCACTTCTGGGTTAGGAGGGGCTGCTCTGCTGAGCCTGTGCAGAACGTTGATGGAGGTGCCCGGGAGCAGCGCAGAGGTTCTTGAGACGTGTGGCCTGGCTGGTGCTGAGCTTCTCGCCTTGATGTCCCCGAGTGCTGCAGGTGGGGAGCAGGATGGTGATTGTCGCCGCGGGCGGTGTGTTGCTCCTGATGGGCGTGTTCGGGAAGGTCGGGGCTGCGTTTGCCACCATCCCAACCCCCGTGATCGGAGGCATGTTCCTGGTGATGTTCGGGATCATCTCCGCCGTGGGCATTTCCAACCTGCAGGTGAGCGAGGCGCCCCTGGGAGAACAGCAGCATTTCCCGTCTTGAAAGGAGCCCGTGGGGATTGAGGTGAATGGAACGGGGCTGGGGAAGGGGAGGAGCAGGGGCTCCTTGGTCCCGGTAACCACACTGCTCCCCGCAGACCACCATGGAAGAAAGACGTAGCTAGAAGCATCCCAAACCGGAAATTGTATCAGTTTGAATTGGATTATCCGAACCATTCAGCTCCCAAAGCCAAGTGGGAATTAGGGCTTGGCTTGTCTGCTGAGAATGTGGGTTGCTCTGAGTTCAGCCCCCTCCCCCAAAACTTCTGGCGGCAGTGGGAGGGGAGGGGCACCTGGAGGGGTGTGAGGTTGGCGTGCAGCAAGGGTGCTGAGGCTCCGGGTTGCCGCGGGGCCCTCTCTCCCACAGTACGTGGACATGAACTCGTCCAGGAACTTGTTTGTCTTTGGCTTCTCCATCTTCTGTGGGCTCGCCATTCCCAACTGGGTGAACAAGAATCCTGAGAAGCTCCAGACAGGTGATTCTCCATCCTCTGGGCTGGGACCACCCAGGGGCAGCACCCACAGGGCCCTTCATCCCTGGGAATCCTTGTCACTTCTATCTCCACACCAGGGGTTCTCCAGCTGGACCAGGTCATCCAGGTGCTGCTGACCACGGGCATGTTCGTCGGTGGATTTCTGGGCTTTCTCCTGGACAACACCATCCCTGGTAGGGCTCACCCTCGCTCCGTGAGCTAGCAGATTGGGCAAGGGGGTCAGCATTTGGGCCACTCCCCTTGCTTCTCCAGCCCTGACTACATCAGGTCAGGCCAACCACAGCTGGAGCGGGCCCTGGGCCTGGTGGGGTGTGTGGGTCTGTCTTGGTTTCCGAGGGCTGCCGTCACAAAATACCGCAGTCTGGGGCTTAAACAACGAAATGGATTTTCTCTCAGTCTGGAGGCTGGAAATCTGAGGTCAAGGTGTCGTCAGGGCTGGTTTCTGAGGCCTCCCCCCAGGCCCCCTGAGGCCTGTCCCCTAGGCTTGCAGACAGCTGCTTTCCCACGGTGTCCACACCCGCCCTTCTGCTGTGGGTGTGCATCCCTGGGGTCTCTCCACGTGTCCTGCTCTCCTTGTATACAGACACGCATCAGATTAGATTGGACTGACCCGAAAGCCCTCATCTTTTACTTAGTCATCTGTTCAATGGTCCTATCTCCAAATACAGTCACATTTTAAGGGGCAGGGCCTAGGGTTTCAACATGCAGTTTCTTGGGGGGGACACAATTCAACCTATGACAGGGCCCTAAGGTGAGAAATACACCAGAAGCAAAAAGACAAAGACACAGCCCCAGCGCTCTTGGGGAGTCTAGCTGGTGAGAGAGAGGACATGGGTATTCATTCATTCATTCATATTTTCGATAAAAACGTCTTGAGCCCTCGTGTTGCAGGTGCTATATACAGGCACACCTCATTTTATTGCACTTCACTCTGTCATGCTTCACAGATATTATGTTTTGTTGGTTTGTTTTTTTTACAAATGCCACCAGCAAAAAGATTGTGACTCATTTTATTAGGATACTCATTTAATTCCGGTGGGCTGGAACTGAACCCACAATACCTCCGAGGTAGGCTTCTGCTGAAAATACAAAATGCAAAGAGACATGCTCCCTGCCTTCCAGAAACCCACAGGCTAATGGGAGCAAGAGACCAGAGAAAGAGACAATTACAATACGGGGTCATCAGTGTGAGGATGAGCGAATGGGGTCTCTAAGTGCTGAGGAGGTGGAAGGTGGAGAGCTCAGAGCTATCATCACTGATGGTGTTCAATACGCCCTTCTTGACCCTCCCACAGCCTCTGGGAAGGACCTTTATGATAGCACCCGCTTTGGGGTATTCTATTTTCCACATTCTCTTCTCCTCCAAGTGTAAAATGTGTCTGCATTCTAGAAACATTAAAATGTGGAAAGGCCAGCCCCTGAATGGAAGGACAGTGGTTCACAGGAGGTCGTACCCAGAGCTCTGTGCTGTGTCAGCTGCCCAGAGTGGGAGCTCAGGCAATGCCTGGGAAGCTGAGCTGGGCTGAGCTGAGCTGCGATTCCTGAGCCAGGCTGGCAGCCACCTCTGTTGGCAGGTGGAGGGTGCCGAGACCTCATGACTGCCTGCAAGGGGCGCCAGAGTCCCCTTCCAGCCCTCCATGGCCCACTCTATCCCCACCCAGTCCTGACTGTTCTCTGTCTGCTCTCAGGGAGTCTGGAGGAGAGAGGCCTCCTGACATGGAATCAAATCCAGGAGTCTTCAGAGACGACGAAGGTCTTGGAGATCTACGGTTTCCCTTTCGGGATTGGCACCCGGTCCTGCTCTCCCTCCTGGACCCGGTATCTCCCCTTCTGGCCCAGACTGGAAGGTGGTAGGAAAGAAGAGGTGGGAATGAGCCAGCGCACACTCTGTTCCCAGGATCCCTCAGGAGAGCGTCCCAAGGGAGCCCTAGAAACCAGGATGTGAGGCTGTCTCTTCTGACCCACGTCCCCAAGCCCTCCCCACCCACCCCTACCCCAGGACGTGCTGATCGCCCCGTGCACGCACAGATGGGGACCACACCCTCCTGAGCACCTCTGTTGGCCTATCCACCTCTGTGGCCAGATAAGCATTAACTGAAGACCACGACAAGCGTGCTTGGACGAGGCCAGGCCTCGAACTGCATCCTTCCGCTGGTCTCCAGCCTTGCACCTCCAGTATAAACCAGTGCAGCCCGGTGTCCCTGCAGAAACACCCTCAGTCCACATGTTCTCGACAGTATTTTGATGCTTTGGGAGAAAGAGGCCTGCGGAGTGGGGCAGGGGACGGAGATGGGGCACTTGGCTGGAAGAACAGGTCTCTTCCTCCCCAAAGAGGCAGGTGGCCCTGCGGGCCCCTCCAGAGGCCCTTCCCCTCTGTGTCCCTGCTGTTTGTAACCCCCGCACACCCCCAGGGAGAGTCCTTGGGGTTCGGCCCCTACATCACAGGACAGTGAGTGGTGAGAGCTGGGCAGTGGAGGAGACAGGAGATGAAGCGGTCCAAGAATGTGGGGGTCTGCAGTGGAGGGGAGCCCCTGTGCTGTGATGTGTAAACTGTAAGGAGCCAGGCGAACCCCTTCCCTCTGCACGCTCAGCGGACTAGTCAGGGTTCTCCAGAGAAAGTGAGCCCATGGGTTGTGTTTGTGTGTACAGATACAGACACACGTGTACACACATACATGTGTGTTACTAGATATATATACCCATGTGTGTGTATATATATATATATATATATATATACACATATGTGGTTGATATAGAAATATACACACGCAGGAGAGAGACAGAGAGGGAGACACTTTAAGCAATGGGCTCCTATGACTGTGGGGGCTGGCAAGTCCGAAGTCTGCAGGGTAAGCCAGTAGGCTGGGCAGATTGGAGCTGAGTCCCTGAGGGTGATCATTGCAGGACTCCCTCTTTCTCGGGGGAGGTCAATCATTTGGGCTATTTGGTCCTTCAACTGATTGGACAAGACCCACCACGTTGTGGCAAGTAATCTGCCTTACTCAAAGTCTACTGATTTAAACGTGAATCTCATCTAAAATAAATACCTTCATAGAAACATCTAGAATAGTGTTTGGTCAAATATCACAGCCAGCGTACAGCTCAGGGCCACATACACTGCTTGTCAAGGAGCCTCACCAGAAAGTGCCCAGAGCACTCTGAAATCTGGCCTCGCCTCCATTCAGGGGTATTTATTACCAGAAGAAGCAGGTGTACCTGGTTCTACCCTGATGTCCTGTAGCACACGATTAAGGTCAGCACTGTTCCTGAGCTCCCAGAGCCTGGAGGATGAGTGGGTGGTCCCCAGAACTCTCTAGAACCCACCAGAACAATAACCTGAACCCAGAGTGTGCTGAAAGTATCTGGTATCATGGCACCTCCAGAGACAGGTCCTGCCTGTCCTTTTCTTGGAAGGCCTGTGGCCTGGGCCTCAGCAGCACCCAATGCCCACATCCCCCACCCCAAACAGGAGAATAGGAGCACAGGGGGAGCAGGTGTGTGCCCTGCAGCAGGCCCGTCCCTTGTACCGAACTACCCCGAAAGACCAACATGGAGCCACGCTGCTCTTAATGCTTTATAATAACCAGAAACTAAAACCATCAAAATGCTGCTGGGGCAGTCCATCCAAAACACTCCCAGAAGGCTGAGGCATGGGCAGCTTTGGCTGCTGGCATCCAAACTTGGAAACGGTCCAGCTCACACACCCCCTTCCCTCCCAGCTGTGCTGTATTACAGATCTTCGTCGTCAAAGGTCTCCATGCACTGCAGCATCAACAGCTCATGGTCCAGGGGAGGAGGGTCTGGTTCCTGCAACACACAGGGTGGAAAAGGATGGCTTTTCATTTAAGGGTTCTTGGCCCAGGCTGATGAGGAGGCCCCGCCCTCTCAGGTGCGCCTGCTCCCTAGGTCTCTACCCCTCATCTCTTCATTGCATCTTCACCTCTAGCTTCCGGCCAGGAAGTAAGGTCAAGGGGGGGGGGTGCGGGGAATGGTTCCATTGCCATTTCCCTCTATGACCGCCAAGAAGGCTTTTCCTGGATACCACAGAACTGGCTTCTTTGGAAATCGTAAAGCTTTATTCAAATGGCCATCAGCAGAGGATGGCGAATCACACCGTGATGCGCCCACTGCTGGAACGCCACGCAGCTATTTCAGTAAAAAGGAACATGATCACTCCCTATCTGTGGGATATACTAATTAAAAACGGCAAGATACAAGCAATGTGCTCAGTAGACTACCATTTGTGTTTGAGAGAATAGGTAAATATTGGATGGCTGTTCGAAACACTGGTAATGGGACTGCCTTTGGGGAAGGGAATGGGTAGAAAGTAACCAAGGGGCACTGGTAGGTCAGAGACTGTTTTCTTTGTATATCGTTGGTAACTTGAATTTTAAACCACATACATGGGTTAGCCATTTGGAGATAATTTTTTAAAGAAGCAGCACTATCATCATATTTGTGTATCAAAGCAAGGATTTCCCATTCCGTTTACAATGACCCCAGCCAGCCCTTCCGAATCCACATGACTTCTCCCCCTAAAAGTGTGTTTGGGGGGTTGCACGTCCTGTCTCTCCCCACCCCAGCAGAAAATGGCCCCTGTAGTTTGTCGGCCCTGCTGGTCTGGGTTCGCTCCCTCTGGGCCGTGGGCAGCGTCCCCAGTGGTCTCACGAAGGCAGGACCTGGCCCCAAGGGGGGTGGCCAGCGTGCGGGCTAAGGCCACAGGGGAGGCCTTTTCTGCTCTGGACAACGGGCCCCATTGTCTGTGCCCTACAGACGGTGGCGGGTGCGAGGGGAACCAGTGTATCTGAGTGGGGCGGGGGGCGGTGGTCAAAGGAAGATCTCGCAGGGGGCCCCCTGTTTGGGGGAGGACGGTGAATGGCAGAGGCTGAGAAAAGAGGGAGTCGGAGCATAGGGGTGCCAGGAGGCCGAGCGTCCCGGAGGGAACCACGCGCTCAAGTCCCTGTCACACGAAGTGCTTGAACATCGTTCAAAATGTTCTAATTCCTTCGGCTCCTGAAAATGGTGTCTGAGGCATGTTTAAGCGTCAGATTTGTGAAAGCCACAGGCTGTGAGAGGTGTCTGTTGTGGGTAGAACGGCATCCCCCCTCCCCAGATCCATGCCCACCTGGAACCTTATTTAGAAATAGGGTCTTTGCAGAGGTGATTAGTTAAGGGTCTTGAGATGAACTCACCCTGGATTTGGGGTGGCCTCCAATACAAGGACTGGTGTCCTTCTAAGACGACGAGAGGGGCAGAGAGACACAGAGGCCTTGTGAAGACACAGGCAGCCACTGAGAGTGACGCAGCCACGGGTCAAGGAATGCTCAGGGCTGCGTGAGCTCCCAGGAGGGAGGACGAGGCACGGTGTGGCCCCTCCCCAGAGCTTGCAGAGAGCAGGGCCCTGCCGACACTGGGCCCTCTGCCCTCCAAGCTATGAGAGCTGCAGGCTGCCAAGTTGGTGGCGACTGGTTACAGCATCCCAGGAAATGGATCCAGTGCCAGTTAAGTGTCATTCAGCCACCTCCCACGAGTAGGTGGGGAGAAATGGAATGTCCCTCTTTACACCAGTGGCTATGAAATGCCCCAGGCCTCCTGCATCAGAACCTCCAGAGCAACTTGTTCTAAATACAGATTCCTGGGGCCCCATCTCCAAACACTGAATGCGTTTCTTGGGGGGACGGGGCACCAGGGATAGGCATTTCTGGGAAGCTGTCAAGGTGATTCGAGTTAGAGAGCCTCTGCTTTAGGTACATGCTCCAGCACCTGCCTGTTCTTCCTTCTCTGCCCTGCGTGCAGGGAGGAAGCGGGGAGACCAAGGGCTGTCCCAGGGATGCGTTCTCATGAGGGCTTAGTGGCAAAAGGGCCAAGTGGTTCCTCAGCCTGTCGGAAAGCTGTCCTAATTATTTTTAGGTAAACGCTTTCATTAGTACTGCTTAGCTTTTAAAATAAACAACTGTATATTTTGCTAAATTGGCAGAGAACAGCTACGGCTATGAAGCATCATGGCTCAGGCATAAACCTGTCCCCCCACAAAAGCTTCCAGAATGTTCCTCCTAACCCAAACCTTCACTGCCTATGTCATTATATGCTGCATGGTCAGCTTTTTGGAAACAGAAATGAATATCCTTCCAGCGCTGATGGCAAATATTACCCCAGGGTCTCAGGAGATGAGGGAACAGCTCAGCCTCTTGGAGAGGTGTCGAGGAGTCCCACGCCAGTTAGGAACTGGGACCTGGTGGCCAACCCAACGAGCATCCCTCTGTCTCCCCCCTCAGTTTCCATGGACGTCTTCCACTCTGCAGGCTGCATTAGGCTGAGGTCAACCATCCATGGGGCAGGCCCGAGAGGATGAAAGGATGTCCCCCACCAGGAGCCCTTGTGGTGTGATCCTGGTGAGGTCCGGCTAGGGCTCCCCTCCATGGCCCTTTCTGGATCCTGAGGTGAATGGGCGGAGGGCTGAGGTCTCTTTGCACTCTGCTCTGTCCTAACCTGTGTTTTTAAAATCCTCACCTGAGAACATATTTATTGATTTTAGAGAGAGAGGATGGTGAAGGGGGAGAGAGAGAAAAACATCAATTGGTTGCATCTCCTATGCACCCCAACTGGTAATTGAACCTGTAACCTAGGTATATGCCTTGACCAGGGATCGAACCTGTAACCTTCTGGTGTGTGGAACGACCCTCCAACCAAATGAGCCATTCGGCCAGGGCTATCTTACCTGTTTCGGCTGAGTGTTAACACAGCAAAGGTCATTAAAGAAGTCAACGAGCTGCGTATAGAGCTGAAACTTCTCTTCTGGGTTCTCCGGGTGGCAGCTGGCAAACAAGGAACTGATGACAGAGAGGAAGAAGAAACAGCAAGCGTTCAGAACCCTGTCCTTTGACCTCTGCTTGTGCCCCTAAAAGACCTGGATTGTGGTGTGGACCAAGTTCTGTCAACACCCAGCTGACTCCTCAGATAGTCGGGAGCCCTTGTTGGAAGGTCTGCGTCCTCTCGGCTCTGGTGTCACATCTAGAACCCACTGGCAGAGTGGGATGACAGGGAGACTGGCTGCCATGTCCTGATTTAGCGTCCCGAGCTGTAGCCTCTGGAACAAGGGAGTGAGGTGTCCTCCCTCCCTGAGGGTCAACCTCTGCAGCGGAGCCCCCCGGGTTCCGCTACAGAGCCTCACCCATGGGTGCATCACGCACTGAAGGTCAGCCCCTTCAGATGCCTCCACCCAGGAGGTCCCACACAGGTCACGGATGCAGAGAAAAGGCCTGTTTTGCAGACTCCTTTCCCGCCTCCTTCCTGGGACAGGGAGAGAAGCCCAACACCCAGGGACCACAGAGAGAAGAAGCTGTGAGTTACGCTGCGACAGCTGGCATTCTGACCTCACATCCCTCTGGGAGGAGGTCCCCCAGCCAGCTAGGAGCCCTCTGGCAGCAGACCCTGTAGCCCTGCCTTTTCTAGGGAAAGTCAAAGAAAGGATTCTTTAATAGGCTGGGTTTTTTTTTGTTCCACCAGCAAGGTAAGAATTTCCAAATATTGCTGGTCAAGTGCGCTTCGGCAACTTCTCAGCCAAACTGTCTTCAGAGCTGTCTTCGATATCTGTCAGCAAAGTCCAGCCCCACACAGAGCAGAGGGGACCTCTGGTCACCCCGTAAAACACCTGTGCAGACTTTGGACAGGGCTGTCCGGGCCAGGGGCGGGCGGCGCGAGGCAGGTGGTGGGGAGGGACAAATGTCGATTTGCAGCCAGGTCACAAAGCAGCAAAGGCATTTCAGTCCTCAGCTCGCTCCGAGACAGCATTCCAGGGGTGCAGACTCGGTCACTGCTGCTCGTTGACAAATGTCCCCAAATGCCGTCTTGTGTCTCCTCACCCCGTGGAGCGAGGCCAGCCACCCCGTCCTTCCCTCCTCTCAGGTCCACTGACACCAGGTGACAAGCAGCCCCCCTTGTACAGCTCAGAGATTTTCCTAAGCTCCAGGCACGGGGCCTGTTCCCAGGCTCAGGCTGTCCTAGGTTCTCCGGGGCCCAGACTCCCCTGCCCGCCTCTCAGGCCGGACCGACTGCAGTAACCACCATGGCTGCCTCCCCCTGGCAAAACGGTGCAATGCGAACAGCCTGGAGTTGTTAACCTGCTGTGTCTCAGCCCTGGGCCGGGAGGGAAGAACTTTCTGCTCTGAAGAACCCCAGACAACACCATCCCCAGGGTGACAGATGGCACAGTCCTAGGACCAGCCTGCTTTGGATCCCTGGAAAGAGAACCATCTCCAAGAACACCCACTGAATCTCTTGCCCCGCTGAGGGCTGCAGGGGCGAGGCCCCTAGACCTCACAGCAGGAGTGCACACGCACGCACACACACACACACCCCATCCCACACCCCTTCTCACCTGGAGCTAGATGTACTTGGATCCTCACATTTGTCCAGGAAACACGCCACATTGAACGCATCTTCAAAAAGGAACTGAAAGAAAGCACAGAACTTGATCGGAAGTAACTCGGCAGTTCGACATTTGTGCTGGGCGGCTGCGGGGCAGAGTAGGAAGACGGTCTCCCTCCAGCCCTCAGCCTGAAGGGCATGCCTGTTACAGCCGGGCTCAGTCCCAGGGGCTCTGCTGGGGGACGCTCCCAGGGGTGAATATTGAGCTTTGCCCACTCAGAGCAAACAGGCAGCCCCGGAGGGGAGTGCTGGGGACTCTGCTTTCCTCCTTCTAAAGAAGACAGAGCTCAGGTGGGAGATGCGACAGCCAGAGCTGAGCCCGTTTACCTGGAGAAGGGCCCACCTTCACCTCCCCAGCTGCAGGGCCTATTTGAGCCCAGGATTGACACCTCCTCAGTTTCAGGGCAGGACAGCTGAATACAGAGGTCAAGGGGCTCTGGAGCTAGGCTGCAGGAGAGCCGGCACCCCATCCTGCCACTCATTAAGCTGCGTGACCTCGGATGAGTGACTGCATCGCTCCAATCCTCCTCTGGAAACAGGAGTTGCAACAGTGGCCACTCGCAGGGGCGTTGCAAGGATTAGATAAGATATGTGAGGCACCAGGAGCATAAAAATGGCTTAAACATATTAGCTATTATTGAATGCTATCTGGTTTATAAAAGAAATACGTGTTTATCATGGAAATTTTGGGAAAATGAAATAGATAGAAAAAGCAAAGGTCCCTGAGAAACGATCCCACCTGGAGAGATCCTTTGTTGACACAGTGACTTCTTTCCCTCCCTCCTTGCCCTATATACATCACGTCATATACTTCCAGTTTTGGAATCTTGCTCTTTAGAGTGTTTGGTCCTGCTTTTCCTTAATTCATGGGAGAATATAAAATATTCCACAGGAATGTGCTATACACTCAGGATTGCCAGATTTAGCAAATAAACATACAGGATGCTTCCATTTGAATTTTAGATAAACTATCACACAGGACATCCTTTTATGACAGGTATCGCTGGTGTGCTGTGTGTTACCCGGCACCCGGTCACACAGGCCGCCCCCAGGAGAGGAGAGCGAGTTCTCGGCCCTGAGTGTCTGTCTGTCCATCCGTCTGATAAGATGCTCCCCCTGAACTGAACCCCTTGGGACTCTGGCCCTGTGGACGGCCCCCTCCTGGTTTTTGGGAGGACATTTCCTGGTGTCCTTTTAAAAAAAGATCCCTTTGGTCATCTCAAACAGAATCTGGACTGAGGTCACTGAGTTCCCGTGTCCATTAGCCTAGAAGCTTAGCATCTGGGGTCCCTCCCCACAGGACTGAGGCGGGGACCCAGGACCTGAACCAATCTGCTCCCAGCTGCTGCATGCCACACACTGTCCTCCCCAGGAAACCTCCTGACAAGCCAGCCAGGAGGGGCACAGCCAGGCCTCATGGCCGGCCCTTCCAGAGCACCCAGCACACTGCGGACGCGCTTCGCAGAACTGCAAAGGCAACGTCCAGGTACCTCCTGGGCACACCTGACCTCGAGTCCAGAGCCTGGCCCTGAACACAACTGTTCCACAGCAGAGCCTCTCCAGATGGGCCAGGAGCCACAGAGGTTTCACTGCAATAGTTATGGTGGCTTTGTCCCTGCCTGGGATGTAACTGTCACCCAGCCCTGAGCTGGCCCAAGCTAACTTCACTGAGTGGCAGCAATGTTCTCAGGGATTGGGCCTGACCCGTCCAAATGTAATCCTATCTTGATTATGCAGGTCATTGGCTCAATGATCTGTCAATCGGGCCAAATCTGGCCAATGAGAGAGGAGGAGAGATTTGATGGAAATTACTGGAAAAGTTCTTCCTAGACCCTTGAGAAAAGGCCACAGGACATCATTTTCACAGCTGACACAAGGGAGGAGGGACAATGGCTGAATTGCTATCAGCTGGCATGGCACAGTCACAGGGCAGGGAGCAGGGGGCGGGGGAGTGGGGAGGAGAGAATAGGGGAGACATCAGCCTTGAGATGAAGCCGAGCGGTGAAGAACCAAGTCTCTGCTGCCATCACTGAGACAGTGACCCGAACCCCGCCCTGCCTTGGAACCTCCCTGGGCTCCGGGTTTGATGAGCCAGTAACAGGCAGCCTGAAAAAGTGCCAGCTGATACAGCCTTCTAAGACACAGGTGGCAAACACAAGGCCCGCGGGCCGAATCCGGCCCTCCACCTTGTGCTATCCACCTGGCACCTTGTTTCTACCTGGTGGCGGCACCGAGCTCTTTGCCCCTAGTGAAGGAGTAGTTACATTTACACAGTCCTAACATTACACATGGCCCTCACACTGAGAGGCTGATGTGACCCCCCTGTGAAAATGAGTTTGACACCCCTGTTCTAAGGTTTCTCTCCTATCATCCCCATGGAAAAGCCGGGAAACTAACCCCAGAATAACAAATGCTGTTCTGTGGTTGCAGAGATGACGTCAGCACAATCAGAAGCTAACCATGTGAGCCAGAATCCAAACAGCCCCTCAAACTTGCCAAGTGACCCCGAGCCAGTCCCTGGCATCTCCTGGCCTGGGGTGACACCCCTCCACCCCGTGTCCCAGAGCCGCTGACCTCCTCCGGGGTGGACATGAGCGAGCAGCTGGCCCCTTGGCTGTCAACTCCACTGTCCTTCATGCTGCCCTCGGCACAGGCCGGCTCCTGGGCGGCCCCTTCGAGGCCCGGCAGGCTGCTGTGCTTCTGCGCCAAGGCCTCCAGGAAAACAGCCTTCTTCTCCTCCGAGAGGTTCTGCCACAGGTGGGAGATGGCGGCAGACATCACAGGGAGTGTCACCTCCTGCGAGGAGATCATCCCGCTTCCGGTCAGAAGGTCCATTGTCTGCTTGTAAAAGTTGAGGTACCTGGAACGGAAAGGACACCATCTCCCAGGCCTGAAGCTCGAGGCCCACGGGCTCCCCCCCCAGGCCGTGCCCCCAGGAGCCCGTCCGGGTGTGGGCTGGTGCACAGCACGTGGGCCCGGCCACCTCCTTGTGCTGTACGACAGACTTTGCATTACTAGTCCCCGCATGGCCCCGGCCCTCGGAGAGCAGAGCCATCTTGGGGGCCATGGGGGACAGATTTCTGCTTCGGGGTCCTTCCCCATGTCCTGCCAGTGCCCCCTGGGAAGCTCTCTGCCTTCTGCAGAGAAGACGAGAGGCGTGGCTGGCTCAGCCATCACCCTACAGGAAAACTGCTTGAAATCCCTAGCCCATGAATGTGCAGACGTGATGTGACACCCGCTTTAATCTGAGGCCTCAAAGTCAGGCTCAGCTGTGGACAGAGCCTCCGCCTGTTGAACCAATGCCCCCGAAGCCCAGGGTCTTGAGTCTGTGGAGGGGTGGGTGGCGGTGGGGGTCTGAGCCATCTTCCCATAAAGCTGCCCCAAAACAGACTTTGTCGGGGGGGGTATGTGTGGGGGAGCCTTAGCCTTTGTAATCTCCATCAACCACCTCCCAAGGCATCTCAGCTAAACACCCAGTCTAAGTAAACCCAGTGTATGTGTTATGCAAACGTAGCTTCACGGCTATTTCTTTAGCTCTTCTGCCAACCCCATCCCCAAGCCCCAGCTGTGTGGAGGTTCTGGAGCTTCCATGACTCAGGGCCTGCAGCGTGCCCTGGCCGGAGCCTCTGTCCCCTCCCCCACAGGAGCTCCAGCTGTGCAGAGGCCGCCTCTCAGCTGTTCACACCGTTCAAATTCCATGAGGTCTGGTGACAAAGTGACCGAGGAAGGTAAGAGCTCCACTTTTTCCTCCTCCCCCTCCTCCTCCTCCTCTTCTTCCTCTTCTTGATCTTCCTCCTCATCTTCCTCCTCTTCCTCCTCCTCATCTTCCTCCTCAGCCTCATTCCAGATTGCTTCAAAGGGGCACGAGTGGGCAAAGTCTTTCGGATGAACCTTATTCGGGCACAGGCTGGAGAGAAAACAGACACACGAGAACTGGAGACCAGTGTCCCTCCTGAACGTCGACACGGACATTCTTAACACAAACTTGGCAAAGTTTGTGTTCATTCATTCATTCATATATGAATATGAATATATGATACACTGACATACACACATGTGTGTGTTCATTACTATGTCATGGCCAAGTGGGGTTTATTCTATGAATGCAAGACGGCTGTTTCAATCTTTGAAAATTAATCACTGTAACTCATCATATCAACAGACTCAAAATCTTACCAATTTTGATTTTTAAATATGATGATTTTTTTTACAGTCTCAATAGATGTAGAGAAAGCATTTGGCAAAATTCCACATCCATTCATGACGAAAACTCTCAGCAAACTGGGAACAGAAGGGAACGTCCTCAACTTGATAAAGGCTATCTACCAAAAAGCTACAGCTAACGTTATCTACAAGAAAGCTACAGCTAACATCATACTTAACGGTAAAACACTGAATGTTTCTTTCCTAATATTAGGAACAAGACAAGGATATCCACTCTTACCACTTCAAAGCAAAATCACACTGGAGATTCTAGCCAGACCGATAAGGTGGGTAAAAGAAATTAAAGGTACACAGATTGGAAAAGAAGAAGTAAAACTATCTTTATTGGCAAACAATGATTGCATATTAAGAAAATCCCAAAGAACTTACAAACATGTGACCGTAACTAAGAAACAGGTTTAGGAATATTGTAGACTACAAGGATGATAAGTAAAACATCAGTATTTCTATATACTATCCATGAACAGTTGGAAAGTAAAATTTAAACAAAATACTACTTGTAACAGCACCCCATACCTAGATGTAAACCAAAAACTCAATCTGTAAAAAAAAAATAAGTTGAACTTCATCAAAATGCTAAAGTTCTATTCTTCAAAGACATTTGCAAGAATGAAACAATATGACAGCATCTGGCAAACCAGAACCTGTACCCAGAGTGTCTTCCTACTGAGAGGAATAGTCCCTATGGTGTCATAAAGAGAGCAAGTGAGCCCTGGCTGGTGTGCCCCAGTGGACTGAGCACTGGCCTGCAGACCAAAGGGTCACTGGTTCGGTTCCTGGACAGGGCACATGCCTGGGTCGCAGGCCAGGTGCTTGGCTAGAGGCGTGCGAGAGGCAAACGATTGTCTCGCATATCGATGTTTCTCTCCCTCTCTTTCTCCTTTCCTTCCCTTCTCTCTAAAAATAAATAAAATCTTTAAAAAAAGAAAGCAAGTGAGCCAGTAGAAAACAGAGGATTCTTTTTTTTTTTTTTAATCTCAGAGTGGAGGAAGCCTAAGCATTCCACCAAACTCGGGTACCATAACAGATCGATGGATGAGGCTTCATTTTTGCATGGTCAAAACAAAAAACAAAAACATCAAAAGCAAAATAATAAACAACCAAGGGGAAATTGTTTTAAAGTCATATACTAGAAAGAGAGCTAATTTTTCAGATACATAAAGAGCTTCTACAATGACGTAAGACCACCAGTCCGACAGGAAAGTGGGCAAAGAATAGGTAAAAAAAGTTCCCAGGAAGGGAAATACAAGCGATCTTGAACAAAGGCACTTAAGCTCACTTGTAATTTAATGAACTAATTACAATACGATAATTATAAAATGTAATTATATGTAATGAATATGTAATAATTGGTATGTAATTAATACATCCTTAAGCTGGTAGCAGTTTTAATTGTTGTAGGTTTATAATATTACAAGTGAAAAATCCTCCCTAATTATTTTGATTTTAAAAGAAATGTAGCCAAACTGTAATTGAAAAATAAAATTAAAAAAAAAGAAAAGAAAGAAATGTAGCCACTCCCAAGTGCTCAAGTGATACAAATACGGATAAGACCTCAGTACGTGATAAAGCTCCTATCTTCAACCAGGAGGGCAAGGATGGCTCATGGAGTAAACGGGGTGGGGATCACTGGCTAGCCATTTGGGAAACACCGATGCAGACACCCACCTGACGGAGAGTATCTCCCAGACTGATCACAAGGTGGGCCCACTTAGATTTGCAGAACTCGGCTACACACACCGTGCCAGGTACGTACGTACACAACACACACACCGTACCTGCCTCCTCCTCTCTGCCACCACCATGGTGTACGGATCGCCATTATAGGCGGCCGCATCCTTTTTCATCCTTTTCTGTATCTCACATGGTCTACATTGTGAATTTAATGTAATAATTTATCATTTCCTTTTGGTTGTCTCTCATTAAGATAAAATGTACATTTGTCATTAAAAATGTACATTTGTACATTTTGACAATACAGCCCTGACTGGTGTGGCTCAGTGGACTGAGCGCCAGCCCGAGAACTGAACGGTCGCTGGTTGGATTCCCAGTCAGGGCACATGCCTGGGTTGCGGGCCAGGTTCCCTGGTGCGGGGCGCACGAGAGGCAACCACACACTGATGTTTCTCTCCCTCTCTTCCTCTCTCTCTTCCCCTCTGTCTAAAAATAAATTTAAAAATTTTTTTGGAAAATACAGAAAAGCAGAGAGAAGAAAATAGATGTCTTCAGCGACCCCACGCTCCAAGACGACGGGACACCACCTCATCTAGGCAAGCTTTAGAAAGTTTCTAAATAGCAAGCCGTTTGCAGTCCCATTCCCAGGGTGAGCAGAGTTGCTTAGACTCCTGGGTCTCATCAGAGGCCAACCTGGGTATTCACTGTGAGGATGGACGTGCCCTGGGGCCACCAGAGACCACACAGGCCTGGCCCTCGCCCCCCGAAGTCCAGGCTGCTCTGCGGGATGAGGACGTGGTGCAGAGGGTGACAGCATCCTGGGAGCCCCGCAGGGCACGTGTCCACACAGCGCACATGAACAGCCCGGCTAGAACAGGAGCTCAGTCTAACAGAGGAGATCGCAAACGACAAAAGGGACGTTTCTCAGACCAGTCTGTCCAAGTTTGGGGGTGACGTTGCAAACGGGTTCCCCTTTCAGCACCTGCGACACCTGGGCTGCCATGTTTCCTTGTCTCTCAGGTCCAGTCTGGCTTTTCTTAGGCTCCTGTGAAGCTTGGAAAGTAGGCTGAGGTTTGGATTTTCCTTTTTTAAAAAGATTTTTCTTTTTTCAAAAGATTGTATTTATTTATTTTTAGAGAGAGGGGAAGGGAGGGAGAGAGAAACACTGACCAGCTGCCTCTCCCCCACGCCCCCAATTGGGGACTGAATCTGCAACCCAGGCATGTGCCCTGACCAGGAGTCGAACTGGCAACCTTTTGCTTTGCAGAGCAATGCCCAACCAACTGAGCCACACCAGTCAGAGCGGATTTTCCTTATTTTCATATGGGAAATATGAGAACTTTTTCCTCCTCCCCCTCCTCTTCCTTCAATAAGGTCACCAGTTGAGTTTTTTAAAGTTATAATAGAAAATAAACACTATGATCTCATTTTTCTATAAAATAATGTGCAATTTTTTTTTAAGAACCAGAAGGCTATGCTTTGAAATGAACATTGCTTTTCCCTGACAAGTGAAACGATATGTATTTTTATTTTCTTTTTTAAGCTTTTCTGTGTTTTTGACACTTTCCGTGATAAGTATGTGTCTGAAAATAGTTTTTCTGATAAAAAAATGTCATTCCTGTTATCGGATTAAAATAGAAAAGAATTCTCTCCAGCACAGGAGGGCTCTCTGCGGGTGCGCGGCGCCTCTTGGCTGTCCCGGGTTCCGGAGGGAAGGCGGGGCTGCTGTGACGTCAGCAGAGAAAGACGCCAGCAGGCGCCAGTTCTCCTGGTCTTACCTGTGATTTCTGCAGAACATGCTGGCGTATATTTCCTTGACCTCCTCTAAGCTGTTTGCATTCCCATCCTCCAGCCTGAAGGCTTCTGTTGGGGAGTTGAAGGCAAGGGTCACGAAGGGGAAAGCCAGGCCTTTGCTGGGTCTCTCCTGCCTTTCTGGTCCAGGGGGGAGCATGGGTGGTCCCTGAGCCCACCCAAGTCAAGAGCCCAGATTCACTCCTCCTTCCAGATGTGAGGGGGAAGGGCTTCTGGGACTGGCCGGTCTCAATCAGGACATCCAAGTGTCCCTTTTAGAGAGTGGGTTCCACCAGCTCGCTAAACTCAAATTCCCAGCAGCCATCTGTCCCAAACTAAGCGCCAAGGAAGGGAGCCACGTTCTGACAAACACGGGTTCATTTCTTCTCTGGCCCCTCAAGATGAGATCAGGTTCCTTCAGCTGCACCCCAATGGGATCTCATCATGCTCACCCAGGCTGTGAATCTTGTCGTATCCCTGGCCCAAGCACAGTGCCTGGCACACAGTAGGTACTCAGTCAACATTCATTCATTTGGCTTAACCTGATGTCTCTGCTTTCAATAGAAAAACCAACCAGCCTCTCTTTCTCTGGGAGGGTAAGGGGGCGGCAGGTAGGACCTGTTACCTTTCACCTTCAGCAGATGATCCAAGACTTTTTCCTGTTCCCGAATGTGATTCTTCGCCCTGTTCAAAACCTGCCACTGAGGGCAGAGAAGCACAAAGCTGAAAGGTCAGCCTCTCACGGTACAGACAGGTTTTGTGGGTGCAGGAGCCCCTCCCTGGGCTCTGACCACGCTTCCTCAGGTACAGAGCCACCGTCCTTCATGGTGTCGATAAAAAGGGTAGGAAGTTTGTTCTGATGAGCAGAAGGCATGAAGTTCAATTTGCATTCTGGAAATGGTTCTTACCAGAAGTATTCGGAAGCTATTAAGCTGCGGTCAGCAAACTCCTAGGGCTGCAAAAAGGGAAAACAACTACATCCCCTCCTTGAAGACGGAATAAATAGTGACTCAGAGGGGGCCTGAAGGAAGACCAGCCCTGCGCTGGCACCAGGCTCCCAACTACCTCCTGCTCCCTCGTCACCACGTGCGACTGCCTGGCTAGTATTAAATGTGCTCTTCCAACAGTGTTTTTTGTTCGCTAAATGCATACATTCTAAAAGCATAAATGCTCTGTCAACTTGAACTCTGAATTTCCTGTCCTGCAAGACAGATTCACAAGCATTCCTTCGTCCCTCCCTCCCTCCCTCCCTCCCTCTCACAGTCCTCCCTTCCCTTCCTTCCTGTAACATTACCAAAGTCAAAATGCTAACTGCAAGATTTTTCAAAAACAAGAACTGCTAAACACTGCTTATTGGGCTGACCACAGACACCTGCCTGGCATGACATACATTCATCAGGTGCGTATGTCTAAGGGGACACCCCTGTGCGCTGGGCCTGGGGACGCAGAGCAGGTATGAACAGCCCCTGCTCTCAAGGTGCTGACGTGCTAACAGAGAAGACAAGCAGGGAAGCGACTACTTGTAACACAAACTAGAATTCGGGAAGTGCCGAAAGGGGGTGGAAGCAAAGGCCTGTAGAAGTGCACGCACAGGAGGAGGGACTGATTCCAGCTAGAGGGACTGAGAGGCATCGTGGAGCAGGGCACGCATGGAGCAGAGCGAGACGGCAGCAGACACAGTCCCACACCCACCCAGGCAGGCCCCCGCTCTCAGGGGTAGGGGTGGGTGGGGGGAGTGGCATCTCCAGGCCAGTCCCCACCTCACTCCACAGTCCCTCCCCCTGTAGAAACCTCCCCTCCCCACGCTCAGGACTGCATACTTTTGAGGCCGTGATGTCAGACTGGTGGTAAACGATTCTCCTGAGGTTACTGAAGAGTCTTTTCAGCGTGGCTCGGTGGCGGGCCTGGGACAGGCGTCTGCGGGCCACCCGAGTCTCGAGCTGCTGCACCTGCGCCAGGCACCGGGGCATCATTCTGCCACAGCGGTCACTGCCTTCACCAAAGGTCGCCATTAAAATCTGCAAGGCAATATCATGCTTTTGGGGGGCCCTCCATAAAAAAGATACAATATTAAAGAAAAGGGAAGGCAGGTTGAAGCAGAAAGAAAGTAGAGGATCCCAAACTAATGAATAGAATTAATAATAGATACATCATGAACAACAGATGACACAAAATTTGTTCAGTTCAACTCCTAAAAACACGAGCCTGTTCATATGCGACTTCCGGGTGAAGGACACTGCTGCTTTACCCCAGGAAGTTTCCAGAACATTGCAACTACTCACCTGATACTTGTTGATGGACTTTTGAGGCCATGGAGAGAAGACGGTACCCTGAGATCTTATTCTTTACAGTCTGTTAAAGCTGAACAGATATGTGGCCCACCCTTTGAGGTATTTCCTACCACCAGAACGCATCCCACTGTGGTTCAGGTAGTGGTAACACAGGTGTGTAGATACAAAAAAAATCCATCACGGTGTATTCTTTAGATGCTCTTCAAAAAGAAGAGTGCACTGTTCTACCTGTGAAAGCAAAAAGTCACACGACGACAGAGGAGTGGGTTTGGCTTGTCCTGCTTCTGGTGGGTCCTGAAGGTGATCGTCATGTTGTCCTTTGTTACATCTGAATTTATGGACCAGGAGCCCTTCTCTAGGACAGGCGATTCTGGGACTGATACCTAACAGTTTTAGTAAGAGACAAGGACCAGTGTCTCTCACCTGACGCATGGACCCCTCCACCAGGTGCTCACCCCACCACTGCTCTGCCAGCTCTTTGGACAAGGAGGCCGTGTCTTCATCACCTCTGGACCCCGGTAGGTGCTCAGTGTGGGTTTTGAGTGGACTAGAATGGGAGGTCTTTGCTGTGTCCATGCTCCGCTGAGCTCAGTCAGTCCTGTTGCACACGGACAATGCGTGACCTCGGCCAGGTTTGGTGTATGCAGTCACTTGGGGAGGCTGTTGAAAACATAGGTGCCCAGGCCCTGCCTCGAAAACAGTGGATCTGAAGCTACTGGGGTGGGCTCGGGCAGCTGATGGGCAACACGCTCCCCGGGTCATTCCGAGACTTTCATGGTTTGAGCATAGCCTGGCAACACTTCCCTCGAAGCACTGCCGCTGGCAGCAGCAGGGAACAGAACCTCCCCTGCAGAGGGAATACCGCTGAGGGAGGTGGGAGACAGCTCCCACTAAGTTCTAGGGGGGAAATCAGCCAGAGGTCGTGAACCCAGTCAGGCAGCATAGGATCTGAAGATGTCTTCTGGGTCAGAAGGCCAATCCCAACAACAATGTGGGCTTCACCAGGGTGTCTACTTGCCCAGGGCTTGCTTCCCAGAGCCACAGCAGGAAGATGGCAAGTGGGCGCCCCTGTAGTTGCCTGCACTGGCCCTTGCGAGCTGCCGTGACCTTTATTTCCAGGAGTCACGCCACCAGCATGGGGAGGAAAGCCCCTGCTTTGGTCTCCAGTTTCCAGACACGAGCAAATCTTTCATAGGAAGCAAAATGAAACAGCAAAGGGTATGACCTGCCTAGGGCAACGTGAGAACCTTCTGAACCTCAGGACACACAGGCTGTCCTTAGTTATTTAGATTAAAGAAAAATGAATGTGCCTGGACACCATGGAATTTAAGTCAATGAAAGGAGGTAAAAATACCAGGGCCCTCCCAGGATCTCGAGTTCTCTAATAGTCCAGAAATAGCATTACCAAAGGCCTTTGCGCTGTAGAGCATCTGGAGCTCTCGCAGTGTCAATCCCGTTAAACTGGGTTTCCTCCCAGGCTTCTATCCTAACACACCCCTGAAATACCTAGTCACTGGTTGAGGGTGCAGCTTTCTGCTTCTCCCGTAGGGGGCAGACTCTCCCATTACTTGCTACCTCTGGGGGCAGCTTTCACTGCCGCCGCTAGGGGAGAAGGTGGCGCTAGAGCATCCTGCCCAGCAACAAGGAGCTGTGACCTCCACCTCACCCCGCCTGCCTCAGGCTCCCAGTCCCGAGCTGGGAAGACACTGGGGGTGGGGCACACGGAAGACGGGAGACGATCCTTCCACTCTGTTTTAGGCGGGGAATCAAGCCAACTAGATGTCGAACCTGATTAGACCTCATGCAGTTTTAAATATCCTGCTCGTGAACGCTGCCTTTTGCTCTCCGACTAGGAATGATTTGCTATGATTTGCCCAAAAACATTCTTTTAAAATTACGTTTTTTGACTTGAGCAGTGGACCTGACTAGAGCTTAGGCTGATATTTTTCAGGGCTCTTTGTTGCAATAATGCAGTTAAATCTGTCCCGTCAGTGCTCATGATCTGTTGTATGAAGGGACCAATCTCCCAGAACAAGTGCTGCACAGTCTAGGATCGGGGAGGGGAGGACAGGACCCCCTTCAGCCTTATTCCAAGGTTGGCTCTTTCGCTAGGACTGGGGGAGCTAACTCTAAAAATGAGATGCAGAAATCATCTTTTACTTAAAAACAGTTGAAAACACAGACAAACCTTTTTTCCCAAAAGTCCTATACCGATGCAAAGCGTGTTCGGGATACTGTTACCAGCCATATAAGGTATTAGCGCAGTGTAGAATATAGTCTGAGACCCCAGCCCCAGGGCCTGGAAATCGGCATTGTAATAGCCGTGAAAACTCAGAATCATTTTTAAACCTTAGAGGGTGATCCATTCAAACCTTAGGCAAATTTATCAGATCATGTAAAAAAAAAAATCCCAAGTCATTCTCCGAAATATGTAGGTAGCCTCAATGACATATTCAAACGTTTGTATTAAAGTCTGGCCCCAGGCCTAAATGTTCACCTATGTAGAGGCACCAGCTTGACTCAGCTCTCATGTTAAAAACGCCCAAAAGGCCAAGTGCACCTTTCTGGAGGTGAATGGGTGCTAAAACCTCAGCCTTTAGTCGATACTCACACTAGGAGGGATGGGCACCCATGCACACGACGTCCCCTCTCCCCGGACATGCAGGAGGCTGTGTGAAGCCCTGAGAGCGGTGACTGCGAGGACAGTGATCACGAGCCTTGTGCCAGTCAGAGTGGAAACCAGGGCTTCTGCCCCTGCCACCTACCAGACCTAGCACCTCCGCACATGGGCACGGACCAATTGCGGCGTGTCCCCAGCCCCCACAGCCAATGGGGATGCACTGTGGCAGGCCAATGAGAGTGCGGCCAGAGAAGAAACAATGTAAATCAGGGTTTGAAGGCACCCAAGAAGACTAGGTGACAGGAGGGAAGGGCGGGGTGGGGCTGACCTTCTCACCTTGCCAGGTGGTGACTCCTTCTCTTGTGGAGGCTGAGTTGAACAGAGAGGCGATACCTGTGTCACCTCAGTGTCCTCACATGGCCTGCATGTGCCCACAGAGGACTAAATGGATGTTCCCCAACTGGTTCCACTCACCTGCCATTGAGCTCCAGTTTCAACATTCCCTCAAATGAGGCTGTGCCACCTACCTTATAGGGTTATCCTGAGGTTTAGAGAAGACACCTTAAATTAAAGGGTCCCAGGGCACAGGCTTCAGGTGTCAAGGAAAAAGGTGAAAACGTGGATGTCACAGAAACCGAGAGACGCATAAAAGCAGGAACAGGGGAATGATGTTTTAACTATGGGAAGAAGAAAGAGGAATGGAAAGCAGATATTCTTCCAGTTTAGGAAAAAAGTTCATTTCCCCTCAATACAGAATATACTCTGGTGTGTAGGTATCTTTTTTGCTTGAAGCCCTGCACCCCTAAATATGTCATCATGCCACTGCATCAGTTCTACACTAGGAGCAGCAGCCAGGCCAGGTGCCCCCTAGCTGCTCTCTGATCTGGGGCAAGCTACTCCTCCCTGGCACAGGGGTTAAACAAAGGTCACACCGTCTAGCTCAAGCCGCATGTGCTCCAGGGTTCATGCATTTGGATTTTAATCCAGGGTCCACCTTGCAGTGACTTTGAGGACCATAAATGAGTTCAACCTACAGCATGCAAATAGGGTACCTGGCATGCAGCTGGCACTCCTGGCATTCAACTTCGGATTTTGGTGGAACATTAAATTAAATGTGTTATGTATAAAGAAACTGTCACATAGAACACATGCAGTGAGAATCAGTTCTCTCCTCCTTTTCAAGATAAATGTAAAATTATTTCACTCTAAAATTTTGCCTGGGTCAAGGCCCTGTCTGTTCCGGCTCTCAGGCAGCCTTTGACCCAGGGTCTCTGAGGACCCCTGAGAAATTGCTCTCCCCTCTCTCCACTTCCTGGTTTCCCTCCCCTGGCCCTGCTCCTCAACTCCCACCACCAGCCCCATCACAGCACTCCTGGGACCTCATGGGAACAGTGGGGTTTCAGGAGTCTGAGCCACTCTGTCTTGGAGAGCCTTACCTTTGCACTGAGAGGATGCACAGAGGTTCAGAAACACACCTGCCCAGCCTTTTATCTAGTCACCCCCAACCCCACTGGTCAACCACCACCACCCCTCACACCTGCCTCTCTGGATGCGTCTCACTGGGGAGCAGGTCTGCACCTAGAAGAAATGCAGTCTTGGGGTGGGATATTACTAAGAGGCTTCTTTACCTATAGCAGTCTGATTTCTGTATTGAAAAAGCAGATACTTTATTTATTTCAGTCAATCTTCCCCACAACTGGCAGGCAGAAGGCTCTGCTCATGGACCTCCTGATGACCTTGTGACCTCCTCATGGCCTCTGACCAGCTTTGGGTACAAATCAGAGTTCTTGCCAGTAATGTCCACACACATACCAATACTTTCTGACCCTCATCTCTCCCTCTAAGTAGCATAGATCCTGCCCTGCAATACGCCCCTCGAAGTAACATAGGTCCTACTCTGAAATACTTCCCACAGCAACATAGGTCCTACTCTGAAACACTCCCCACAGTAACAGAGATCCTGCTTCAAAGTGCCCTCCTCACAGTAGCATAGATCATACTCTGAAACACTCACACCCCACAGTAGCATGACCATGGGGCAGGCAGTCTCGGTTCTTGTCAAACGAATCATTGGTCAACTCCTTGATTTTCTTTATAAAATTAATTTTAATTTCCCAAATAATACACATTCCCCTTGTAAAAATGAAGACATTTCGATCTCACCCTGGTCTTCTCTTCACTTTTATAGAATTCACAAGTGTTTGCTGTGGGTGCTTCCAGATTCTTTGCTAGATGTTTCCCTTCCTGCAGGTATTTTCCCCTAGAATATATATAGTTTTCTTTTGTGAGTTTTGGAGGGAAGAAATTTACATAAGAGTATCACTCTGCAACTTGTGGACTTCACTCAGTAGTATGAGTTAGAGATGCATTTATATTCGTACAGATATCTACCTCATTGATCTCCAGTGCTCCACAATGTTCCTCACATTAGATACTTATGAAGGAATAGTGAATTTATTTGAAAGTAAAGAAACCTTTTGCAAGATGTATTAGTCAGTGTTCTCCAGAGATTCAGAATACTAATTATGTATATTGCATTTATATTATAATTACATATGTTATATATTGTGTGTGTGTGTGTGTGTGTGTGTGTGTGTGTGTGTGTACATAGAGAGAGAGACAGAAAGGGAGAAGCTGGGCCAGCTACTGCAGAAGGTGGAAGCAGGGTTGCATGGGACAAGGAGCTGTTTTTTTTTAGGAAGTGTGCCAACAGAGATGGGATTCCCCCATGCTGTCCTCCACTTGATGTTTGCCAAAGCAGTTTCACTTATTAACCTAGGAGACTTGAATTGTTCCAGCAGTGTAAGTGAATGATTTTATGGACTCATAAACCGATGGATTCCTACTGCTGGAAGTCTAATTCCATTCTTGGTGGCTTTCTGTTTTGTGCAAGTAGGGACTTTGTTGACGCTAACCTGAGCTATTCCACAACGGATGTGGTCACAGTGGTCTAAGAGAAGGTGTTTCACTTTCAGTCTTTGGGACCCATGAGCTCTAAACAGACACACCACAGTTCCCAGCAGGTGCTGATCCCAGCATGAGGCCTGTGGACTGTGAGAGCTGGAGGGAGCAGGCTCCTTCTGATCCGAGGCACCTTCCCGATGGAGGAGCCAGGGAAATGATGCCACTTGCTCATCAGAGCTCAGGTGTGAGGCCCTTCCTGTACTTGGTTCCAAAATCCGAATTGTATAAGCTCAGAATTGGGAATTCCTAGTTTAGCAGTAGTCCATATTTAAAAGTTTTGGGGTTGATAAAATCTTTGCCTGAGTTGGCTTTGCCTGAGTTGGCTAAGATATGGCTAAGATATGGTTATTATGACAAATGAACGTGCTATGTTTAAAGATATTCATTATATTTATAAAATAAAATAAATGTGTTCATAGCATGAAATTTGAAAAATATTTAAAAGTATAAAGAGCAAGTAAGAAATCACCCATAAACTCCAACTACCTGATTTTGTGTGTGATATAAAAATACTATAAAAGCAATCATATTACATCTTCAGTTCTATATCACACTTCTTAAAATTAAACTTTTTATTTTGAGATAATTGTAGATTTACATGCAGTTGTAAGAAATAATACAAAGAGATCCCATGTTCGCTTTACCAAGTTTCCCCCAATGGTAACATCTTGCAGAATGATAGTACAGTATCACAAACAGGGCTTTTGGGGGACTTAGATCTCCCTAAAGGCACACTTGGTTGTGTGACTTCATACAAGTCCCTTTACCTCTGGGAACTCCAGATTCCTGTTTGCAAAATGGGGGTAGGGCTTAGAGGATTCCGCAATATAATGCAAATAAGCAGGGTACTCAGCCCCCTGGCCACCTCGTGACTATCTGGGATGTTGTCGAGGTCCAGTGGTAGTTGACTTGGATGGCTGCCCCCACTTTCAACAACTCAAACGACAAAGCCCCTGCCACCGCTGCCAGGAAGCTGAGGAGAGAATTACGTCTTTCAGTCACTCTTTGGGTTGGGTGGTGATTACGGGACAGATGGGCGGGGCTAGGGCGGGGCCAGGGCGGGGCCTCAGGCGTGCGGCAAGGAGTGCGTAGGGGCTGGTAGGTCGGCCCCGGAGTGACGTATCTGGCGCCCGCTCCCGGCCCCGCCCTGTGCGGCCGAAGCCCCGCCCCTCCGTCCCTCACTTGCCCGCTGCCCCTCAAGGCGCTGGCGCAGTGATGGCGGAGGCCGTGGAGCGTACAGACGAGCTGGTTCGCGAGTACCTGCTCTTCCGCGGTTTCACGTACACACTGAGGCAGCTGGACGCCGAGATCAAGGCGGACAAGGAGAAGGGGTTCCGGGTGAGAGGCTGGCGGGCGCGGCACAGGCAGAGGCCGCCCTGAGGGAGCCCGGAGCGGGCTCTTCCCCAGCACTCCCCTTAGGGGCGGGAGTGGCGCTGTCACCGGACTGGGGGGCCTTGACTTCAGTGCGTCTGGCCCTCGCTTGACAGATGAGGAACTGAGGCCTCGCGAGGGTTCATGATTTGCCTGAAGTTGCCCAGCGAGTCAGGAGCATCGCCGAGGCTGGAGCCCAGGTCCCCGAACTCCTGGTTCAGGGCTCAGTCCTCCACCCCACCTTCCAGCAGGTGCTGGCTAGTCGTTGGCCGGGATGGCAATAAGGCTTTCAGAGCTAAGGCTGGGTAGATGGTTGAATTTCGGCAACGCAGATATTCTGTAGCTAGCTTCCGATGGCTTTGGGAGCAAAGGGGACTGCAGCCCAAAATGATGGCTGGGTTCAAGTATCTGCGGTGTTTGTTTAAAATGGCCTTGTCGGTGACTCACTGGCAATGTTGCTTCAGCAGTTGAGGAAGACCTCTTTGCGCATTTCAATACTTTATATTTCCCCCGCTAAGACGTGATTTTCCGTTGAGAAGTTCTTGGAATTTATACGTGGATGTTTGCTGACTTCAGTGAATGTTGACAGGTGACCTGAGAGAGAGGAAGTGGGCCAGCAGCAAGAATGACGGAAGGGAGCTAGGAGACCCGTTTCTTGTCTTGCTGAACTTAGTGGCTACTTAGTGGCAAAAGCGAAGCATTACAGCTCTCCAGGCCTCCCTGTCTGATCTCTAAGGTGGGGTGTTGGATTGGTATTGGT